ACTCATAATCACTAACTGGGGATATTTGCCAAATCTGAGATATTTCAAAAATTTCTGGAGTTATGGAGGGTGCATCCGAAAAAAAACAAACAAACTCGTCCTCTCTCGGATTTAGGGAAATCTAGATACCAAATTTGGATGTTCTAGCTCTTATACTTTCTGAGATCCTTGCGTTCATACAGAAAGACAGACGGACGGACGGACGGACAAACGGACGGACGAACAGCCGGACATGGCTATATCGTCTCGGCTATATCACCCTGATCAAGAATATATATACTTTTACCCTTTGGGTACAGGGTATAAAGACAGAATTTAATATTAAAGAAATGTAGCAACACAGTACTAATCTTAAAAGGGTATTTTAGTCGCCGAAATAGGCCGCTAATTAGTATTGCATTAGTGTATGTGCATTTAATGCTGGCTAGTAAAATGTAAGGAGATGTTCCTGCTTAATGTGCTAGGAGATTGGTTAGACGAGATTATATGATATAGGTCATTATAATAAGAGCACAGAACACGAAAAGGAGGGTGCAAAAATTGAATTACAGCGTTCCAGACGTAGATGCCGGTAATTTCTTGTGGGTCTAGAAGAAACTACGAAGTTTATACGACGTAAAAGGTTGCCTGAAGTGATTTCTCCTGCCAGTAGCTTATAAAAAAAACTACACCAGAACAGGTTCTACGATCTTGCAAGGTGGGGAGATCAAATATAATTGGTCACGATAAGGATTGGGATCCCATTGGAGATCTCGCGAGGCAACTAATATGTCTATAATTTCCTTTTCATTTGATTTATTATGATGAAACCTAACATGAAAGCACAAAAGCATTAACCGTATGTAACGGTCGGATTTTAGTAATAATTTCCAAAAAAAAATCCGAAAGCTATGGAAAATCGTTAATAGCGGGGGAGTGGGGATGCATCAGAACTGGACTTAGGAAAATCTGGATACCAAGTGTGTTTCATTCTGTGTGTTTCATGTACAATCGCAGTAGGCTAGGTATACCCATTTACCATTGGGGTACTGGGTATAAAAATAACCTTCTTTCGTTTAGAAACTTTGTATTTCGATCTAGAAATGTGTTCGACTTACAGGAAAGAAGTTGTTCACTTCCGGTTTACGATTGGACCTCTATGATCAAACAGTACCACAAAAGAATTTCTCTTTTCACCTTTTGATCGTCAATGATCCCTATTCGTACCTTAGTTGCTATTGTGATGCTCTGACCAAGAACTGTCACCCTCCTAAAATGTTCGGTACATTTTCAAAACATCCTAAACAGTTATTATAAATTTTGATCGCCATGTTACCTCCCCTCATTGCTCAAATCCAAAGGGACCACTTATGTACACCAAAAAACGAAAAGCAAACTTATAGTCTTTTAACTTTTCGGACAATTTTATTAAATTAATTGAACGAACCCATTTATTTGCGTTTGAGCCCCTTACGTATTGGAAAGCATTATACAAACAAACAATATATATTATCAGTTGGAAGATAAGTAAATGAGTGAATGCCATTGGGTTCCATTCGATATGGATTTTTTTACTCGTATCGAAATAGAGAACATGATTTATGTAATACATTAATTTACCTAAATATAACCTCATCTTCAAGCCTAACATAATTCCGGGAAAATTTAAATGTTTGGTTAGTTTATGGGCCATTACACATCTAAAATGTTCACTGACGTGGGAGGCTCGTCGCTGTTCTGCTCCGACTCAGCCTGATTCTTTCATTCGCTTAGAAAGAAGCTTTATCTTTGCATTTTCCATTTGCATTTTTTTATCAAATATTTGCAATGATCGCGAATCGCCTTGCAAATGTGTACATAATTTGGATCTAATAGTGAATACCAACAACAATAGCATCCAAAAGTCAAAGCAATAGAAAATATTTTGTTTATCCATACACACGTACTCATAATTCAAATGTTGGGCGCATGAATCATCCAGAGAGCTTTTTGAGGTTGCTTTTGTTGCAGCTGCTTTGCCGCTGCTATTTTTGTAATTGTTGTTATTGTTATTACCCATCAGGCACGCCAACTGCTAGACCAGCCCGTTCCAATCAACGGTCAAACAATGAGCCTATGGATGAATCCATCAATCAAACCTACACTCAAAGAAACTAAACATACGTACATTTAATTACTTACACGAAGATTTAAATATTTTTACCATCGCTTTTTCACCAGTGTCTTTTAGAAAATATAAAGTGTGGCATCGCAAAATGTGAGTTCGTGTGGCTTCATATACTCATAATAAGCATAAGGCATCTGTTTGCAAAATTTGGTGTCTCTAGATCTTTTAGTCTCTGAGGTCTAGGTGTTCGTACGGACGGACGGACAGAAAGGTAGACAGAAGTGGCTCAGTATAGTATATATAAGTTGTGGGGTCCCCCACGCCTTCTTCTGCCAATTACATTTTTCACTTAAATATTAAAATTTACTACTATATAGCGGGTGCATGCTTAAATTTAACATGGTTCATGCATTAAATTGCGACACACTTTAATGACAAAGATTAACACTTCGTTTTGAGTATAATTCATATTTAAATCAGTATTTGAATATGTTTTTAGTTAAAATTACTTTGCTTATATTTGATTTAAATTCGAAATATTAGAGCATTGAATTGAATATAAAGATATTCATTTAAGCTTTTTTTGAGTGTATCAGTCAACACGTCCCCATATTTACTTGCCTGTCAACATTATTCTCTCACTCTCGCATTCTCTTTCACTCTCAGGGTTTCACTCTCATTAGTTGGAAATAGTTATACATAGTGAATGACTTTAATTTTGTTATGTCTTTATAGCTACGTCAACGGTATAAATTTTTAGCCACCTATGCCGCTTCATTTCTCGGAAAGCCAGTGAAACATTTAAGCACACGATATGTAAATGAGTCATTAAAACGATTTAGAAATAAAGTTGACTCAATTATATAATTTATTGAATGCCAAAGCAATCTCCCAAAAAATATGGAGAATGCAAAGCAGGCCCGCAAAATTGTTCAACAGACGTGTGGCAGACCCCACAAACTACACACATATATACTTAATCAAGATGACAAGTCGAGTCGATAAAGTGATGTCTGTCTGTCCGTCTGTATGAAGGAAAGGATCTCAGGAAGCACAAGAGCTAGAATAATCATGCTTGCTATCCAGGTTCGGCTAAATCCTAGGCAGATCGAGTTCATTTTTTCTGATGTACCCCCACTTCCCCGCTATCACTGATTTCCCATAACTCCTGTGATTCTTGGAATTTCACACAATCAAAAAACTTTTCTCATTACAATTTTGATTATTGTTTTTTTTTCTCCCAATTTTGTTAATTTTTTTAAATTTCTATAATTATTCTCCGCATAGGTACAGAGTATTTCAAAGTCGAGGCACCTGTTTTTTGTAGAATTATACAGAGTATTTAAGGTTTGGGCCCGCCCGACACTAGCATTCCATATTTATTTTTAAATAAAACATGATTTAATACGGATTACCTTAAGACGTCCGAAATGTGTTCTAAGTAAAACCTGTTTTTGGTCATCTGATCACGCTCATTGGTAAATATATTATAAACAAATTTGTATAAATCAAAATAGCGCTTATATAGTATTTATTTAATGTGCGAAGTTGCGAAAGTTGTTGTTGCGAATCTGTGAAGGCATAATTTGTTGTATTTTAAAACAGGAGAGAATTTTATACTTGTAGTTTAGAAAGCTCGAAAGTGGAATACGCTGTACCCAGACAACTTTACTATACTATAGTATACAATACTATGACAGAAAGACTGGAAGACGGGCAGGCAGACGAAGAGACCGACATCATGATTCGGAATTCTCTGGTCATGTGCCTATAACAAGGTGCCTACCAATTTTCCTCATTAAACCAATAAACCCCTACACATTTCATTACTATATATTTAGCCATATTTCAAAGTATTAATTGATTCAAATTATTTTATGTTCGAGAAATTAATATCACAGTTTCCTTTTATCCGAATCAAGTATTGATTAGATACAGGGGGTAACCATTGACAGAATATTGTCTCTTTTGCAGGTGAAATTTCGCTATATGGTCTAATATACGACTCGCAACGGACACCCACCTATTCGCCAGCTGTGAAAATTTTTGGACGCCCGAGCAGTTTTGGGAAAGTTGCGACGCAGTTGTTCAACTGACCATCACTGATCGCGCAATCAGACAATACATATGATACCGCCTACCCATCACCCGCCTACTCAGACACACGACTTGCTAGTTGACAAAAACTCGGCTCGCAGCTTTTGCTTTGGCTTTATGAATTTGTGTAGCAGTTTATATTTTCGTTGTTGTCATTGTTTTTTAGTGCGGCAATTAACATAAATACGAATAAGGCGAAACTGGCCATATGGGGAGTCTGTAGTGTGTGCGTGCTGCTTGGCTAGCCACCTCAAAAAATAATGAAAATAAATAGCCAAAAGTGGGCTGTTTTATGTTTTGTAGGTAACACTCCGAAATTCCACGCCCAAACACACTACTTATGAATTTTACACATACTCGTATGTATTTTTGAAGTAGGCAAACACAAAAAGAGCAGTTTGGAAAAAACAAACGAAACACATTTGATGTTTCCTGCTCGCGGCCAACATAGCGTATGCGCAACCTGTTTGCCGCCAAGTCGCGTATACGCCCACGTTCAAACAAACAATTCGGCAGCCGCGACCCGCCGGCCAGTGAGGCAGCCAACCAGGCGACTCGCACCAATATTTGATTTAATGCGGTTTGTATAAAGTTTAACGAAATACTCGTATACATATCAACAACATATCGTCATTGGCATCTTCAGCTGCGTTTTTGTTGATGATGCTGATGCTGATGCTGATGCTTTTCGACAATGTGTGCGACTGGACTTGTTTGTGACCAGACTAGATGACTTATTATCTTGATTTGCTTTTGCTGATTTATATACATACTGGTGTGTATATACTATACATGGTACAAAAAAAAAGTTGCTTACCATTTTGAAAAGATTTTCGAGTGGTTTTTGATTATAGTATATGGCTGCGCAGCCTGCGTCTTTAAATTATGATTTCGTTGTGGGCTTTACGCCTTAAAAGAAATGAAAATAAACAACTAAGGATACACTTGAAAAAAATATGCAAAGAAAATTGGTGGCCTCAGGCAACCGTCGTTGTACTCGTATTCTCAACTACTTGTAAGCTATGCATTATCTGCCTGCCAGTGACAAGTTCGATTTAATTCATGTTGTGACTCTTTAGGGCAGAAATCAAAACAAAATAGTAACATAACATACAATTGTCGAAGTTTCTTTGAGAGTAGCACAACAACAGCTGCCGAGCGCAGAATCCACAAAACATATATGAAACGCACACATGAACGCGAGAACAGAGAGAAAAGGAAGTGAAAGCATCAAAAAGACTAGAAAAATAAATACAAATTCGCGCGCGCAATCAGACAAACAAACTTTTTTTTGAAATCTGCGTGTTTCGATTCGCCGTGCACTGAGCGCAACCGAACCGGCGAGCGTCGCCGAAGAAACTGAAACTGAAATCGAAATCCCAGCCGAAACGCGTGTGCAGCTGCCGCCAACAGCGTCGGGTATACACGAGGCAGAACGAGCACCACAGAGCGCAGCAAAGCACGGCAGAGCAGTCAGCGACGGACAAATGAGTGCAGGTAACAGCAGCAGAGACAGCAACAAAAACAACAGCAAGAAGAAAGTCTTACTTCCGGTAGGTGGGGGGAACTGCGAGTATGCCGACTCTGGCGACCATGTTGATGGCCTTGGCCGCTATAACTCCACCGAGTCATTGAGTAATGAGAACGAGTCACCTGACGATGAAATTCTGACCGTACGCATGCGCCACCCTCCCCACAATGGTGCCCAGGGCCATAAGAATGTTACTGAGAATGGTCAGCAGAACAGGCCAGAATCCAGATCACACCTATTTGAACCGATACCAATGAGCGTCGGTAGAGACAACGGGAGGCCCGGGAGCCCAAAAGCACGGAGCCTACGCGCAAACAACTGCACCAGGCCGCCAGCTGTAATGCAACCAAGAATGGGTGCGGGAGATGCTGCAACTGCCGATTTCGTGATGAGGCCGGGCGGAAAAACAGCAGTCTTCAGACCGACTCTTAACGCTATACACTACAACGCCGAGGAACAGCATTACCAGCTGGAGCTACTGGAGCAGCATTTGGGGCGACAGTTCGAAGATCAGTGGGCGCAAGAAATGGAGCAGCAGTGGGATCGGCAAATGTACGAAATGGAAACTTCGTCAGACCCCTTACTACAGCCGCAATCACTACAATCGGTGGCACCAACTCAACAGCCAGAGCGCTGCTATCATGTTAAGTCAGCTAGTCCCGCTAGTTGCAAACAGACCCAAAAATCTCTTTCTTCGCGTCTTCGCTCAAAAGAGCGGCCGAAGCCACCAAACACAGCGCCAGCAACAACCACGCAAAGCACATTGGAGGGCTTAGTTTCGTCCAGCATGTCGCCTGCTGCTCGCTTGGCCGAATCCAAAATGGCGCCGACACGCACTCTACAAGCACGCAAGAAGCCTGTGGTGGCGGTGGTGCGGCCTACTACCTCCAGCGTGCACAGAGGACGCACCATCACTGCGAGCTCAACAGGCGTGGCTGCAAGGAAACCGCTAAATCGGACCCAAGGGGTCGCGACCGGAAGCCCCCAAATATCTAGTTACAAAAGATGCTCCTTGACAAAGGAAGAACAGCCACAAACCAAAGCCCGCCAAACTATACTCACTAATCCGTCGAATCGCAAGCAATCCTTGCGCAGTGAGCAATCACAGGATAATCAAGAACAGAAGCCGCCGTCCATTTTAACAGCACCCGTCTCCGTTCACATTAATATTATGACTGACAACAAGTCCACCAAAGTCAAAGTATCCAGCTCAAGGTTGCGGCCCAATCTTAAAGGCGTCAAAGCCAAGGTGGACTCGCATCTATGCTCTAGTTATCTTAATGAGGACAGAAAAGAGAAACCCCAAGGGAAAATTACTCAGAAAACTATACGTAAGCCTGTAGAGCTAAAAACAAAGCCACGAACTTCCACATGCGCCAAAGCAGTGGCTATCCATCCAATCGATGCCGCACGGAAGGATTTGGAGCTCATGATGAGGCGCATCGAACAGTCCACGGATTTGCCACCGCCAGCCAGACGGCACAAATCGGCAGCCCCCATGCGTTTGCTCCCTAGTTCCGATCACACACGCAGCCGGCAACGCCACTCATCAGCTACTCCACGCACTGTCAATCTAGACCCTGCACTCACTACGGCCTTAGGGATGAATCTCCGTACACATTCGGCCACCAGCACTCCCCGTGCAATCCGTACGTCCAAGAAATTGACGCCAGCGCAGCAACCACTGTCTGGCAATCAGCGAAAGAGCGCGCGAAAACAATTGTCACATCCGCCTCCAGCTCCTGCAGTCACTCCCACACTCTCGGCACGCATCTCGAAGCAGCTGCAGGAGACGCTGACGGATCCCTATGAACACATGCCTATCTATGACGTACGCACACGTCAAATTATTACCCTGGCCGAGGCCCATGAGGGTAATGAGGTAAGGGAGGGCAGAGGAAGGAGGCGCAAGACATGCAGGGGCACAATTGCGATGGAACAGCAACAATTGGCCAAGCCTCGCCCAGCAATGGAGAAACTGATGGAGGTGCCGTTGGCCTACAACCCGGAGACGCTAGCACCAGCCCAGCGCCAGGCACTCATAGATTTGCTGACACGGGCCGAGCAACGCGACCGGAGTATTATCGACATATTGACCAGCAGTGCCAATCCATCAACGGATACCATGCGCATGATGCTGCAAACACTGTGAGTATCTGATACGTGTCTAGTGCCTAGTAATGAACAGTTCCAATGACGAAGACGACAGTTGATGCCACTGCGACAGTCGCTGGCTCTGCTGTTGCTGCCTACAGCCAATATGAATCCAATGATGTCATCGTCGTCTCCGTCTTCGTGAACGCCGCTCACGCGCGGCGGTTCTCAGAGCGAACACTTTCCATTTGTTCGCTGTACTGTGCATATACATGTGTATACTGGTTTGCGTGTATGTGGCGTCAGCGCTGACGCCATCGCCCAACGCCCCGATACAAAGACTGAAGATAGCGATTTGGAACAAGAAACGAGTCACCATTATACTATAGTATCGTCACCATCTTTTCAGAGGGCCTAGAAAGTCCAAAAAGTTCTGCATTCAAACCTACCTTCCCCGTTCTTAAGGCTGATTCGTATCGTATCCGTATATTACAAGTATTCTTTCCAATTATAGAATGAGCTACAGAATAGTGTTAGGCGCTCATAAGCAACTTTTAAAGTCTAAACTGCAATGTTCGAACCTTCGTCTGTTAGACAGTTGGGCTTCGACGTTAGCATTCCCACATCCAATAGTTAAGATATACTCTACCGATAGATAATGATATGCCGGAGCAATTCGTATTCGAACAGAACAGTACTTGACCACAGTTCCCTCCCTTTGCAGTTTAACTGACTCTCACAACATTTATTTAAGTGACATTCCCGACGTCCGAATTCTCTTGCGGCTTACGCAACACACGTATGAAGCACTGGAGTTACTCACTAAACAGAGGCGTTGTCGACCGCCACGCTCAACCCAAAACAAAGTGCAGTTCTCTCTCCACTCGTATTCTTTGTGGCTGCTGCTCTTTTCGCTTACCTTTCCCCAACACATCTGTTTTTTTTTTTATTTTTTATATCCTCTACCCGAGGCTTAATGGTGCTTATAATCAGGTATAAATTACACTTTGAAAAATCGTTCACTTAGCACACACTAGGTTCCATTCCATTGTTAAAACAAAGTGCAGTTGAGGTTAAAGTTTTAGCTCGAAAGAGGTTGTGGATACAGGGTATTCAAGAGTGGGGCTGGCCCAACTCAAGCGTTTTTATTGTTTTTATTCGAAGCATGTAGCGCTTCCAGCGAGTAATATAAGTATGTAAACAGAAGGTTAAAGATCAGAAGAAGCTATTAGAGCTTTTTTTATACCCTATACCCAAAGGGTAAAAGGGTACACTGGTTACTCTATCATAAGAATAAGCTCGCAGCACTTGTGCCCTTTGCTTAAGCCGGGCAGTTCATTTCATTTTAGTTGGCCGTTCGCCAAACGCCTTTTCATGCACCGCGCATAGAATGGTGATAAATTTCTAGACTTTGTTTGGAAGTGTGCTTCACTGCTGACATAATACTTGGGTAGCTACGCACGGCCCCCTTTACCCTTTCCTTTCCTTTCCTTTCGGCCCCTTCCAATCGTGCTTATGTGTGTAGTGCGATAATAAAATTCCTGTCAATACGGGACAGGCTGCACTCCAGCCGTTCTTGACGATTACTTCGCCAGTTTTAGCTTAACAAACTTTGCTTTGCTTTTGTTGTTGTTGTTGTCGCCGCCGCCGCCGACGCTGCCGCTGCGCTTTATTTGTTTGATCAATAACTTTGCGCGCTGCTGCCTATTAGCAAGCGTACTTGCCCCTTGACAGTTCCCCTCCATCCGGCAGCTCATCGCTTCGTTTGCAGGCCCGTTTCTGTACTGTGGTTTCATCATCAAGTCGCTCGCGTTCATTAATTAATTGATCCATAGCGTATTTTTGGCTTTGCCATTTTCTATTTTGATTGTGTCATATTATTTATGCGAGACCACCGTAGGGGGTTGCCATTTGACAGAAAGCTGTACGCCCAGCACTCCAAGCCCGCCATTGCCTTGTTTTCAAGGGCCACTACTGAATGGTTGTATTTTTGGCATTGACCTTGTGCGTGTGGGCCTGGGTGGGCGCTGGCGCTGAGGCGCTGAAGGATAGCGTGCCGATGTGCCATATGGGAAACTTAATATGCGCAGAGTTGTTCCCACTGTCGTAATTTTGTCTTCATTCTCCAAGCTAATGCAGTTGGGCAAGAGTGTGCTAATGATGCAAGCTCCACGTCTGCTAGAGACTACAACTTGATTTGCGATTCACGAATTTGGCGACACTACGAATATTGAATTAATGCAGAAAACTCAATTCCCAATATTCGCGTGTCTATCGTAGTGTGCTTTTCAACATTTGTGAAAAAAGTCTATATACTTGTATATATACATACTAGCAGGTATTGCCCGTCTTAGCCCGGCTCAATATCATGTTTCCAATTGTATTTATTTTGTGTGTGCATAACCTATCCATATGTTTTCACCTTATAAGTTACCAGTAGGAAGGCATTTAAGGTATTTAAATGAACATTTTCTGTTCTTAACAAAAAATTGTTCAGTAGTCCGTTACATTTTTGTTCCTTCTATAACTATAACTAATATTTTGTAAAGCTCGTTTTCCCCCCTTTGGAGCTAGCATTTTCCAAAAGCCTTTCTTAGTGTGCTCCTACACTATGATGGATACTATGAAAGGATACTTGAGTCCAAATTTCATCTTTTACCGTTTGGGCTGTGCGTTGATCACCAATTAGTCAGGACAAACTGTTTTATAAATAGAGATAACGCAACGTTTTAAGATAGACTATGTGCAAAAAAGGGGAATAATTATAAGGGTATATCCTAATTTTAAATTCACATTTGAGTCTTTTCGTGCCATATTAAGTCAATACGGTCACGCACAAACTCGGAATATGAAACACGGCACTCGTGTCAATGCCGTGCAGCGATGAGCCACGATCAAAAAGCACTGACAATTCTCATCTCAATTTGCTAGAGTACAACTTTCGATAGTTGAAGCCATCGATACCATCAAAATATCGAAGTTTGAATGCAATAAGCAGAATATTTAAATAATAAAATCTAATTATTTATTGAGATCAATAAGAACAAATCATACATACATACATCTGCCCGCAATGCGAAGCAGAATATGCGTAGCTCCGTTATTCGGTTTCTGCTTTACTATCGCTTACGCAGTCGTTGCCTAGCGACGGTAACTATAACATTTTGGCGTTTTGCCTTTGCAATTAACATTAAATGGTCAAAACGAAAGAAGAAGAGCGAGCCAATGACTTGCAGTTGTTGTTGTTTTTAGAGCATTATTTTTTTTACAATCAAACAACTGTGTTCGATTGCCCAATGTATACATTAATACGAATGTACATACATGCTATATGAATACACAGGCATACATACATATGTACATATGTACATACATATGTTTCTCTTTACTTTTTCAACCGTACGTAGAGAACCGCACACATAGACACGAACTGTTGCTTGTTGTGTGTGAGTGTGTGTATGTGATGTCCCCAACTATTTGATATTTGTTGTTGCTGCATAAAGTTATTAATGAAAACACTAATGCCAAATGCACTAAACAAAGAAAAAAATACTTTTAAAAATGTTATATAATTTTCAATTAATTAACATTTCTTGCTCTGTCAGTGCAAGACGAATGTACATACATACATATGTAGATACATATGTACATACATATATGTGCACATATGTATGGACATTCACACATTAGTGTCTCACATGTTGCTTTGGCTATTTCAATCGTTTGCACGCAACTACACGAACAGCTGTTTGTATGTGTGTATATATATACTTAGTTGTCCCCAACTGTTTGATATTTTGTATTGTTTGGTATGCATATTTTGAAAATCCTTGAATGCAAAGTTGTAGATTTAGTTACGTAGATTACATTACCCAATTTTAAAATCGATCGGACTAAATTTATAACACAAACTTTTCATTTGAAATAGTGAATAAATATTAAAACCCCAATAAGCTCCAACACAAATTTCGAAAATCTAAGTATGCAGTTTTGTTTGTATTCTTTAAATGTATTTTAGAAACTAAGTTTTATGTCGATCGGCTAAAAAATGCGGATTTTTCAAACAAACTTTGGAGCTCGTTGTCCCCCCTTTGGAGCTCGAATTTTCCAAAATCCCTTCTTAGTGCGCATCTACACCATGATAGGATACTTGAGCCCAAATTTCAGCATCCTAGCTTTTACCGTGTGGGCTGTTGACGCGGTTTGCTTTTGTGCCCCAATATTTTTTGTACAGGAAAACTTCCATATTTTGGGCCCCAAAACAAATATCAAAAAACCAAGTATACAGTTTTTCTTGGAATTGTTCTGAGAGTATACAAACTAAGTTTAAAGTTAATCAAACTGTAGATTTTTCATACAAACGTTGGAGCCTGTTTTCCCCCCTTTGGAGATGGAGTTTTCCAAAATCCCTTCTTAGTGGGCACCTAGACTATGAAAGGATACTTGAGTCCAAATTTCAGCTTCCTAGCCTTTACCGTTTGGGCTGTGAGTTGATCACCAATCAGTCAGTCAGTCAGGACAAACTATTTTATATATATAGATAGAAGATGTACATGTATGTATCTGCTCTTGATCACATAGTGTCTTGTTGGCTTTATGATAGCATGGCCAGTTTGAAATGTGCTGCTAACAGTGAATTGACTTGAAGTTGGAGAGGGACTTGCGACATTTTAAAGGATGACCCATAATAGCTTCGAAGTTTAAGTTGTCCGCGTCCACTACTTACAATTTACGAATTCCAGTGCCTAATGCGCCTTAAGTGGCTCTCGCTTCCCGACTTCTCCAGACAGCTTAACCCCCTAGGTCAGCCCCGTGCCGATTTAGCCCTGTCTCTCTGTCCGTCCAAATAAACACCAAATGCTCCTCCTTGCCCCCACTCCCCTAATACCTGCCTCGCTTCCTTCCGCCTGTTAAATTTTTCACTCTGCACACACCTGATGTACGAGTATATACCTAAAATATGCCTATCAGGAACAGGGTATATAAAATATGAATAAATTATTTTTATACTCTTTCACATGCACAAAAGAATATTAGGCTTGCACGAGGTGGGAAATGTAACAGACAGAAGGAGGCGTGGCAGACCACACAAAGCATAAATATTCCTGATCAGCATGACAAGACGAATCGAACTAGTCCTCTCCGTCTGGCTGTCCGTATGAACACGGGAGTTACGGCATCAATGAAACATCATGGAGGACAATTTTGAAATAAACTCGTAGTGCATACACATATGAGGCATCTATGTACAAAATTTGGTGTCTCTATCTCTTATAGTCTCTGAGATCTAGGTGATCATACGGACGAACATACAGAAAGACAGGCAGGGCAAGATCGACTTCTGACTGTTGCATTTTTCAGCTCGTGTACATTTCATGTACAGAGTATTAAAGTTGTTTTTCTAATTTGTGGGAGTGGGTATAGGGTATTTCAATGTCGAGATTGCGCGACTGTAGCCTTCCCTCTTGGCTATATCTATTTTATTTTATATCTCTATGTCATATTATATATCCATAATAAAATCTATACGGTCTATGTACAGCCCAATGGCTCTTTCGCCAGGTGAGTCACCATACAGCGAACAATTCTGGGCCGGACATCGGTACCTAAAGGAGCGACAGCAGTTGCACCAGAAACTTGAGCCTGACGATATGCGTTACAAAGAAGTGAAAATATTGCACGGTCAAAATGGTAAAATCTTTTTATCCAAAACTCTCGAGGACGAGCTCAAGGATGAACAAATGGTGCTAGAATTTATGGAAGATGAGCTACAACATCAACGTGAGCAATTATTGAAACAGAAGCTCGAGCAGTTAAAGCAGCACCCAACGCCACCGAAGCCGGGACCAAATCAGGGCCTTGTGGAGCAGGCGATGCGAGAACGAGCCGAAATGGAAATTCAGAAACAGCAAGTTCGTGAGTGGCGTGAGCAACGACGACATGATGATCTGGAGCAGCGCACGCTTGAATGTCAGGAGAATGCGTTGTTACAGGAGCAAGAGGTGGACGAACAACAAGGGTCTGAAATTCAGGAGCAAAAACAACGTGCAGCCCAGAAGCAGGAAGAACGTAAAACTCGGGAGCAGGAAGAACGTAAAAATCGGGAGGTGGAAGAATGGAAAGCTCAAAAACAGGAGAAACGAGAGCTGGAGGAACGTGAAGCTCATGAGCTGGAGAAATGTAAAGTTCGGGAGCTAGAGAAACATGACCATTTTACCCGTACAAATACAGGTCGCGAACGGTCCGTGGCACATTCATTTCGGAAAGATGAGAACTCAAAAATTACAACTGAAATTAAATATCGTATCCAGACAAAACATGCGATAAATCATTTCAACAAAGACAATGTTGTTCAAAATCATGATGAGCAGGGCGTCGAAAGCAAAACTGAGGACGACGATGAAGAACTAACACCACGTGCGGATCCCATATGCAAGGACTTGTCGCAGCACCCGGAAAAGCGCCAGAACCAGCCCAATGACTATCACCGACTTGACTACTATCCAGTTGGTGACACGGCTGTGGCAAACACTTTTAAAGTGCAACTGGAAAAGGTGCAGCAAAGCCGCGACAAATTTCAGACTCAATGCCAACAAAGTCTTTTCTACAATAATGCCAATTGTCCAATGCCATGGCAGCTCTTTTCTAAGTGAGTTACTATGCACCTGAATCGATCGAACACTCTTTTTATGCATCTTGAATATTTCTTTTCTCGCCAGTGTTGCCAGCAATCTCTCGGATGAATTAGTTGAGGATGTGGACTGTGAATTTAATCGCAGCATTGCCAACTATGTCCAGCATTTTCTAGAGCGGGAATCACGCATGTGAGGTCAAGCAACAACAAACCATTACCTTACTGTAACATTATCTAACTCAAAATTTAAGTGGATGCTTCAACCAAGCTCAAGAAATCTTTTTTAAAGGTGCAAACTAATCATTCTGTCCTCATCCTCCTTCCCTACCCAGCTGTGGCTGTAAATCTGTACCGGATCGTTCTCGTTTTTTGTCTATATACTATATAAAATACTAAGAGATACGAAACACATCCTCAGACATACGTATACGAGAAACACAATTTTAACGAAAGATCTGAAAAAAGCTCTTGAAAATTTGCAGTCTAAGGACTAAATTTAAAGTTGTATATGCACACTCTTTACTCTCATATGTATGTACCTATATATATATATATATAGAAATACTTATGCATATGTAAAAATACATATGTACTTCCTTAATTTTAATTCAGAGCCAGAGCACTGCACTGAAATTTTTGGTAGTAGCCTAAAACTATACTACACTTTTTAACTTACCAAAATATTACATTGCTCATCCAAATTTCTACAATTCATATTTTCAAAACCAGATGCAAAATTTATTTTCTGAGTCGGATCTTTGTTAAAGGCATATAAATAAATATAAATTCATTTTATACAGAGCGTATTCATTTAGTAACTTATTATCTAAATCTTATTTTAAGACTACAGAGTAAATACTTTTTAAATGTACGTAAGTGTATGTGAATGGGCGTGAGTTTGTTAGATATCATTCGAAAGACTCAGCAGAAGTTTTCGGAACTAGTTCTACACACGGAAAAGGTTAAGCGGAGATAAGAACAACCCAAACTATCTTCCGTTCGCGTTTAAATTCAACGTTTCTTTATATTTTTAATGAAAAATATACACTTGCTTAGCGTTTTTACGATCTGTTTCAGAATGAATATTTTCGTCTTCTTTTGTTTTTGGTTTTATTGTTGAATACTCGTACCTAAAACTTTCAGCCCAATCCAAATGTTGTAATCCTTATATTTAAAAATACAGTAATCGCTCTGCTGCACTAATTTAAAAAGCCCGAGTGCCTTTAAAAAGTAGATACGGGTATGTAGCTAGGTAGGTAGGTTAAGCATGGTTGCATATGGCTGTGGGTGCCTGCCCTTGTGTGTGCGATGGCAAACGTGATGTCAACAGGAGTGATGTAAATAAGGGGCGGCAGGTTATGTCAAGGTTCCATGGAGACTATACTCGTACAACTACAAATATGCATATAAATATTAATACCTAACTATTTGTAATTCTAAAGAAATATATCTGGCAATGTGCGCATGTTTGTCGGCGAAAAAAAAACACATGTAGTATGTAGTTACGATAAGAACTATACTCCATCCTGCTAGGCATTGTACAGCATTATGTTCAGAGCAAATTAGAGCAACTCACATCGGAGACGGCGCAGTTTGTAGAGCTAGGCAAAAATTGTATATGCTGCCAGGTGGCGTTAAACCTGTAAATGAACGCAGAAGACGGTTAAGGGCATGTACAAGTATTGATGGATGATAGGAAAAGCGCCATAGACGCGGTGGCGATAACTCACAGATAGCGTTCAGCCAGCTGACGCTCTACATGCGGCTTGATGCGCGCATAATCCTTATCTGCAATCGTCGTGCTACAATGCTGTTGCATGTAGGCGAGCGTGAAGAGCTCGTTCTCATTGTAGGATCGCAGGCCGGCCAAACGCAGGCGTCGTGTTAGGCCCAAACTCTCGTAGGTGATCGCCTGGTTGATGCTGGCACCCATTATAGCACTGCCCGCATCGATGGCCGTAACGAAGCTGCTCAGAGCACGCGCGGCAGTCCGCACCGCACTCATCGTAACATGGAAGCTCTTGAGAGCATCGTGCGACAGTTGAAACAGCTCGTATGAAATGTGAGGCGGCTGTCCCGCTGTCAGGCAGCGCAGATCGGGACTCACATACTCAAGCTCAGGCACCTCGTCGGCGAGGTCATTGCTCTGGGCATTGAACTGCAGTACGAAGTTGGAGAAGTTGTCGACAAGCGCTTCCAAAATGTCGGTGCCAATTCGGGCAAAGTTGACAGCGCTTGAGGGTGCGAGGGCAGCGACGGGAAAAGGGAAAGCAAATAGATGGGTTGCGCTTGTAAAGTTTTGAAAATTAAACTTACACCGGAAACCGATAGTCGTAGTATCTGGAGCTAACTAAGCCACGTGAGATCAGCAACATGTTGAGCTTATTGGAGTAGACAATGGCTTGCGGAATCTCGCGGGTATACATCTCGGACACAATGCTGCAATCGAAAAAATACTCGTATGTTAAATTCTACAACAGAAAATACAAACAGAAGGAGGCGTGGCAGACAAGTACATTTATGATAAGGTATTCCTATCAAATGGAATTTGATATGGCTCCTGCTGCTTGTTAAATTTGTCTTTTAGACTTTCCAGTAAATATAATAATAATACAAGCACAGGATTAAAAAGAAAAATCTTGAAACTCGTGGCCACGATCTATACCGATTCGAAATGGTACGACAATTTATCAAATAGGAAATGAAATAATGAACTTAATTTGTTATGATGCTAAGAAGAAATTCTCCTCGAGATACCTCGTCGCTTAGAAAATATTACTAAAACAGAAGCGCATAAAAATTCCGCTGTAAAAATTAAATTCTATGATGTCAACTTATTTGGTTTTGGGGGAGACGGAGGAGAAAAATGAATTTGTCTGCCACATACTTAAAATACAACGGAGTGCTTAGCAATATTTTAATATGTACGTACATTTCCTCAATGCTTAGCGGCTTAAGTTTCTGCTCCATGCGTGACTTGCGGAAACTCCAAATTGCTTCCAAGTGATCGACAAAGTACAAATTATTGAGGAGCAGTTCATTGTAGTAGTCCTTGACATAGGTGGAGTTCTGCAACACCTCGTCGGGTATCCCAAATTGTAGGCGCATTTCAGTCAACTTCTTGTTGATGAACTGGCGCGCTGGAGGTGGGAGCCAATGGACCTTCGCCAGGGAATCTTGCAGCTGATTGCGAAGGCTATAGAACATAAGGCGTAGGAATTCCTCGTTGCCTTGATTCTTGTTGAGGGTGGATGCCGTTGAATCACTAACTGCGTCTGCCATGTTGAACTGCTGCTGACGTGGTTGTTGATGCAGTGCATCCACTGCAAATGGCAGCCAGTCTCGCACCACTTTACTGCATATAAGCCAACGTGGATAGCTGGCCGTGCGTCCATAAATAGCATGGTCGAAGTTCTCGGCTAACGTGCGATACTCCTTCGACAAATGTGGTAATAATTGACGTGCCAACGACCAGATAATGAAATCATTAATGGATCTGAAAATATTTCCGAGAGAAGCATTAAATTGTGTGTGTGTGTGTGTGTGTGTGTGTGTGTGTGAGTGCAATTTTGCCAGCTTACCTTTTATCCGATGTTGAGAGCAGAGTGGAAAGCTCTTCAAATACTTTGACATCGCGAACCAGAACCTCGGTGTCTTCGCTAATTTTGGTGTGTGGGAAGAGGGTTTGTAGGGATTCCAGTATAGGCAACTATTAATGATCAATCATTAATGTAAGTTAACTGGACTCTGATAACAGGATGTATTTACCGATGGAGCATGTGTTTTTAATTCCTCCAACCTCAGGACCTTGTTCAGCTGCCGGTCGCTGCGCTTCTTGGCTGCCTCGATGTGCTTGACTATGCGTTCTTCGTAATGAAACATATCATTCGCAAAAAGATCTGCTTCGTGTGATACAATACCTGCCATAAATGATATTGTGCAATGAAATGTGTTAAGTTCAAGGCTACCGTATGAACGCGCAGTTGTTAAATTATCTTGAAACTTTGCCCAAACAGATATTAATTGTTATAATTCTGCAACGAGCGACCATTATACTAGAATCTTGATGTCGAGAGGATTTAAAATTGTTTCATTTTCATGTCAAGTATAAAAACCATTAGTAATCGCATACGAGTATGTCTTCGTTTGGCCAGATCTATGCGCATTCCCAATATAATTTTTAAAAATTCAATTCGGACTTCAGTACATAATATGAGTATGTTAATCAATTTCTTTCTTTTATTGCAAATCTGAAACACAGTCTTTCTTTAGACTTACGTATATCATCTGCTAGTCTTACCCATGTTTATAGCGAAGTCACGAAGCAGAAGCTTGTAGCCCCGCACTACCTCGTTGTCCGCATCGCTGCTATAGAAATACTTGTCTGGCAGTCCAATATCGCCCTCGTCCAGTATGATGATAGAGTCATGCGGATTATTATATGCACTGTCGATGCTGACGCGATAATACGGAAAGATGCCGTATTTGACCTGCAAATGGATCAGGGCATGTCTATAATCCCAATTGTGTAGGCGAACGACATCACGAAAGGCCTGCCAGCCATCTGTAAATTGATTGAAATGGATTGCGAGGAGAGTTAGCCAGTAATTAGTGCGTCTTAGAATATACTTGTATTAGTAAAATAGATTTGGATGGGGAAGCCCGAGCATTCTTGCTAATGAATTTGGCTTTGGCCATGAGCATACAATTATACACACTCGTAAATTCCAATTTTAGAGCTATAAACATAACAACAAGAAAAAATACTTGAAATCGAATTCAAGCAACCTACTGCAGCATGGATAAATGGGAATACGAATACGATCATATACAAAGTATTTACATATAACATATTAGTAGTACGAAGCCACTGGAGACTGGGCTAGGACTCATAAAAATTAAAAGCGCTAAAATGTTTGCCAGTTTTTCATTCGGATTCATAACGGATGCTGAAGTCGTTGCGTTTTCACCTCTTGCGGCAACCAGACCATCGGCCACAAATTTCACGCGCCCAACTTGGCTAATTTTCATATACGTGTATGATAAAAGAGCAATCAATATTGTAGACAAATAGCATGTACATGTACATATGTATGTATGTATGTATGCATGTGTATAATGAAGAAAATAAAAATGAAACAAAACAGAAAAAACAAAAGCCAACGCAATTTGTGCTTTCAATATTTGCTGGACCAATTAGCGCCTGCAAATCGAAAAGCCCAAATCCGTGCTAGCCGGATTTCTGCTGTTATAGTTTTTTAACGATTTATTGCAAATCATAAGTTTTGTACGGTGGAAGTTTTTACTTGGCCTGGCGACAATTTCAATTAACTTTAATTAAAGATCGCCCGGGGGTATATAATTGCTGGCCATTCGAAGGCAGCGCATCAAACCAGTGCAGTAGCCTAAGCCGTACAGTTCGCGAGCATCCCGACCAGCATCTTAGGTATCATGAACAAACTAGTGGTAAGTGATGGACGATGGTAGTTCAAGGAAAAGAAACTCAGAAAATGTCATCAATCCGTCCAAGCAGTTATTCGCCTGCCTTGCAGTAATCGGCTGCAGCCGCTGGGTATCAGCGCGTCCTGATGTCAGCTTGGGCTATCGCTATAGTGCCGGGTTCAATAGCGGCAGCAGCGGCGGCGCGTTATTGACTGCCCCCTTGACAACCACATCCACCAGCACCTCATACCAGCCAACAGCCTCAGGAAACACCTACTACAACACCATCCCAAGCATTGGCCAAGTGAACGTGGGCTCTGCTGGTTTCGTGCCCAGCACACAGGTCATTAGCAGCTCTGGCGGCGGCGGCGGCGGCGCCGGAAGGTTTGGTGGTATTGGCATTGGTGGCATTGGCGGCATTGGCGGCAGTGGCAGCCAAATCACTCAGAGTTACACATCAAGCGGCAACAGTGACAGCATTGGCTTGACCGGCCTGAAAACAGGACCGAACATTAATTACGGCGAACAGGAGGCTTATCTCAGCCACCTGGTTAACTTCCAGCCTGCGGTTGTGAGCAAGCACTTCTACATCCATACCGCACCCGAGGATCACGATGAGCAGCAAATTGTGCGTCATGTGACCATTGGACGCCCGCAGAAGAACTACCGTGTGGTCTTCATCAACGCGCCCTCGTCGAGCGCCAGTAAGGCCAAAATTATCGCCAATGTGGCACCGGTCGAGGATAAGACTGCCATTTACGTGTTGTCGAAGAAATCGAATGCCTTGGATGTCAGTGCCGAGGTTGTCACACCGGCTCCTGTTAACAACAAACCAGAGGTGTTCTTCATCAAGTACAAGACTCCACAGGAGGCGCAGCACGCCCAACAGACCATCCAGGGTAGGTGGACATTCTCATTAAAATCCACATTTCTTATTTACAAGAGTAATCGACATTGCAGCCCAATATGACTCTCTCGGCGGAAGCTCGCAGGTAAGCGATGAGGGTCTTGTTCCCGTTTCCTCGGTCATTGGCAGCCTAGGAGACAACGGTGCTTCGGGCGTGATTGCTGACGGAAATGGTGGCGTCAACATTATCGGCACCGGCGGCATTCCAGTGAATGCTGGTGGTAGCGACAGCGGCAGCGGCAGCAGCACCAGCTCCGTTCAAATCATCGGTGGCAACACTGGGGGCTATGATGCCGCCGGTAGTGGCATCAGTCAGTTGGGCTACAAGGTTGTCCAGCACACTGGAGATAACACGCAGGCCACCTATTTGCCTGTGGCGCAAAAGTAAAGTGTGCCAGTGACAGGTGCGAGGCGCACTGCTCCTCAAACTCTCCATACACTGCCAGCCAAACAACTGATTAGACAACATGGACAATTATTAAATATACTCGTATGTAGATCTATTTAAATAATTTTCAGCGATTATTTTGCTAGAATTTTTGACGTTATTTAGCGATTTTCCCTAAACACCAATTTTTTGCCTATGTAAAAAAGGTAATTTTTTTTCTTTTTTTTTAAATAAAATTTAAGGATTCTTTTAAGCATTCAACAAAATGTAAAATACTGGAAATTTTCTTTTATAATGGGCCTATTTACTAAACAATCCCAATAGATATTGGTATGTGGGGAACTAATGAACTAATGAAATGAAAAACGAATAGACGGATGTGTCTACGTAGATAGATTTGTTTAATTTCTGATACGAATATTTATACTTAATGGAGACAGAAATAATTCATTCAGGAAGACAGTGAAATATTGCCATGCATTCTACCAACTTCTTGTAACAATTGAATGGCATTTGAAGCAATGGCTTGCGTCTTAAGTGACAGTCTATTTTTATCATCGGTTCAAAAATGAACATCGAAGAAAAAATTCCAAAAAATTTCAATAGATGAAAAATGTTTATGGTGATAATTGCATGTCTTGTAGCCGAGTCTACCAGTGGTGTGCGCCATTCTAAAATTGTCTTAATGACTTGGATTTTGACAAATATGTTGACCACCCACAATTCGTGATTATGGAAGATGCAGTCGAAAAATTGGATAATAAGAAATTCGGGCTAAATCTTCGTTTAGGTTAATTAAAATGAGCATCGAAGAAAGAGCAAAAATGAAGTCCGTTTTACAACTTGTGCGACTTTTTCCAAAACATTTCAATAAATGAAACAAGCTTATGGTGAAAATTTAATGTCTTGTAGGCGATTCCACAATTCGTGATTATGGAAGATGCAGTCGAAAAATTGGAAAGTGGAATAATAAGAAATCGACCAAAATCTTGAATTAAGTTAATTAAAATGGTATTAAATATCTCAATCAATGATTCATCGGATCTTAATCGTTAATTGTGTCTGTCACGCCTTCGTCTGCCCATTACATATAGAACGAACTTACAAGTATCCACTTAGGGTATACTTGTACAAAAGTTTATGCCCCACAATCTTCAGCTTTTTGGCATGGTATAATTGTTGGACCACAGAAATCCGACCCAGCGATCAGCCAACCGCAAACAGCCAACTCAGCCAGCAACTGGCCAATCGAATAGCAAACACAGACCATGGCAAATAAATTAGCGTCTTAAAAGAAACTGAAATCAAATCACAGCCAAGGTTAACGTCAACGCAACGCATTAAAATACCAAAAAGTATTAAGTAAAACAAATTTCATATACGAATGTACATATATAAGCACACACACGTTTATGTATAAGTAGTATTTATGTGTATATGGGGCAAAAAAAAAAAGAAAAACAACTATACGAGCATATTCTGTTTGAACTACCACGCCCCACAAACGCCTGACTCCAGAGGTGGCAGCTGCGATGGCGCCAACTAATTTATTATCAATTACGAAGACTTTAGATCGCATCTTTGTGTATTCATATTCCCATATATTTGTATATGCGTATGTAGATCTGCATATCAATAAGCGATCTTTGCATAAAGATAATCACACCTACTAAATAAAAGAGTAGCCGGCGGTAGACGGTAGCCGAGACATCGGCGCTGCGACATTTGTCCCTCGGTTTTTACTGTCGGCATTAATAAAAAGTTACATAAATTTCCAAGCCCGACTGCCCCACCATTTCGGCCTCTGCCTTCTTCTAATAGATATGGAATGCCTAATTGATAATTATCATTTCGTTCACATCACCAACGAACACACGCACGCAGGCACGCAGGCATGAGGCACGCTGGCAAGCGCTATTTTACTATAATAACTGAATTAGGTGATCTCTGAAATTGAAAAGAAAAACACTTAATAGGCTTTTGAATCAATATTGCAACAATACTTGTAGTATAGATATCAGCCGGTTCACTTAGTCCAGTTTGTTGCCCCACGCTGCATTGTTTTCTTTATTTAATGTCATTCTATTGTTGCTGTTCTGTCATTAGCTTGGCCTATAAATGGAATCACCCGTGTGTCGTACTAAGCTCCAGTTTCTCTCTCTTTTTATTAGCACGTTTTGTGTACTTAATTGTCCTGAGCAATAGGCGCAAGGGCGTAGGCAGGGCGGGGCAGGGGGGGCCATTGCCCCCCCCTAGAAAAAATTTTGGCATATAAAGTCGAGCACACGTTCATTATTATGACGCATTATTTCGCCTTAAAATGGATCTGAGTTGGATTTGTTGAAGTTTTTTCATTGATCATATGCATAAGTTATTTTTTTAAATGCATCGTGCATTATTTAATCGAAAATTAATTTTTTTGGTTAAATAATATTTAGCAGAGCCACCTCGGATATAGCAACTCAACCAAAATATTTTTTACTAGCGTCCTGCCCCTGCTTCGCATGGGTATTTTTACCAAAATTTTAAAAATTATACATTTAATAACAACATACAGTAAAACATTGCTTTCGTATGTCGATCCCTACTAATTCGAAGGATCATCGATAACCTCGGTATCCTCGTTATATGAGCTAGTTGACCAGTTGCTGGGCCGTTGATAATGGTTGCTACACTTAAATTGTCCTGCAATTGCTTAATAAGCAGGCTCGTCCCATTGCACATGCTTGGAAGGATTTAATTTCCCAAAAGCATGATTGCAATTCTGAATTTTAGTGAATTTAAATGTCTTCAATATTAATCAGGGTGTCGATCGATTTGTAATATCTTATTTCGCTGGGGGCTTTTGAATAATATTGCCTTAATATTTAATGTGACAATGTTTCGAGGATGAATATGAACTAACAGCATGCTATTCAGCCGTTTTTAAGGTAATTTTTTACACCTTTGGTTACATTATTGGCATTTTAGTAAGGATTCCATTCTTTTTTGCAAATATAATATGTTAACCGTCGATAGGGTAGCTTCCCAACAGTGAAAGAAATCGGTCCAGTAGATTCGGAGCCTTTTCAATTCAAACAAACAAACAAATGTTTCTTTTTTATAATATTAAGTACTATATACTTGTAGATTTACAAATTAGTAAAATTCATCAAGCAATAAACCATTAAAAAATTTTTTTGTAAATACATTATGGCGGGATATCAAAATCAAAAAACTTATTAATAGATTTACTCTACTTGACGGACTTTAGAACTCTGTAGGCTGAGCTGAAGCCAATGCTCAGCCGTAATCAGAGCCATCATGGGGCACTGGCTGGTGGGCTCCCATGCCGCCAGACTAGGACTTCAACACAACGACTTCTGTAGAAGTTGCAGAGACGAAGAAGAGGAGGAAACAGTTACCCACCTCTTCTGCGACTGTCCAGCTTTGTGTAGGACCAGACAACGCTTTCTAGGAGATGGCCTCCTCCCAAATCTGTCGGCGTTAGCAGAAAGAAAGCCGATTTACATTTACAAATTCATCCGGGCATCCGGATGGGAGTAACAATTGCGCAGAAATGCAGCCAACCACGGGATATGGGAAGCGGACTTCGTCCACGCGGTACCACAACGGGCCAAATAATCACGGCCTAAGTGAGTCAGGGTCTTCATAAGCTCTGGCTGCCGCATCTACCTACCTACCTACTCTACTTGATAAAATTCAACATTTACGATATAGTTCTGTAGCTAGAACACAAAAAAGCTGTTCAGTCCCAACATGCGCTTTAAAAATCGGTATTCTTTAATTATTCCAAATGCAGATGACAAGATTAAAACAATTCAAACATTCTTTTTGTAAGATAACCACCCATAATAAATTAATATTTTAACAATCAATAAAAAAGACACGTGGACGAGGTAAGAAACGTAGGGGCAACTCAAAATCTCTGATTTCATTTTATGCCGTAATATGAGGGAAAATGTCTGATATCAACAATATTTAGTTTAGTTATAAGATGGGAAAAGCACTTTAATAAAAATTGTATGTATTTCCACTGTTGACAATATTTATACTCTACACCTGAAAGATTTGTGATAGGTGAAAAGTGTAACACGTAGAAGGGGGCGTGGCAGACCACAAATAGTACATACACGTAAATTGTTGATCAGCATGACAAGACGAATCGATCTAATCCTGCCTGTCTGTCTGTCTGTCTGTATGTACACGGGAGTTACGGCAGCTATACAACACACTAAGAGTGGGGGAGTGAGGGAAGGGAGGACAATTTTAAAATAAACTCGTACTATAAGGCATTTTTGTACCATTTGTTATCTCGAGCTCTTGTAGTATCAGAGATCCCGGTGTTGATACGGACGGACAGACAGACAGATAGGGATCGAATATGTAAACTTATTCTATATAAACTCCTTCTGCCTGTTATATTTTCCACTTGGCACAAGCCTAATATACTCTTGTACAGAGTACTTGTATAAATAGATTTTTGATCATTTCCACAAAACAATCAAATCATTTTGCATTGGAACTTGTAAATGTCTATACATTGATTGTTTGAATGTAGCCAAAAATAGAAAAATAACAGCTCTATGCCAAGTCAGTTCACCAAAAGCAGGTGCCATTTAATGGCAGATGACAAACGAGCCTATGAAAACAAGCGCAACGAAATCCAATACGATTGGTATTAGGCGTTTTCAGGTGACCAAGACGCACAATCGCACAAAGTGCGGCGAGGTCGGCACACAGTCAAGTTCAATGCCAGATCTGCAAAAAGCTGAAATAGCCATAATGAAGAGAGAGAGAAGATACGGCAAATGTATTTGGGCATTGTGTTGTGTTGTTGTTGTGTTGGAAGCTTACAATACCAATAATGACAAAAAATTTAAATCGCGGCTAAAAGTTATTTTTTATAATCTGAAAAAAAGTCAGAGCGATTTCTGCTCACGCCCTTTGTGACTTGATTTATTAGACCAGCAGAGGAGCTTTTGCTCTTCTTCTTGTTTTTTGCTGAACACGGCCAATTATAAAACACTTCTTTTTCTATTGTTTTTTTTGTTTTTTTTATGTGTGTGTTAAGCAGGCAGCCTTCGCTGCTTCGTTTCACAATTGTAATGATGAGATACATATACATACAAACATTTATGAAATGTCTTAATGGCAGTTCTAATTTGAATAAATTTTAGGTCACAACTAAGACGAACAAAGTGACTAACTGGCCACAACAGTCTGCTTTTTCTTCTTCTACGTTTAAAGAGTCTGCGTCAGCGTCGCGCATCGCGCATCAAGCATCGAGCATCGAGCCTATGGCCGGCCGCACGCTCTCCATGCTCGATTTGTTCAAATCACTTGTTTTCTGTGATTTACATAAATTGCAACAAAAACAAGCCAAACGAGGCGAATGAGCGAATGCGGCGCAGCGCCGTCACCGTCACCGCCACCGCCGACGTCGTTGCCAATGGACAGATGATGCGCATATAAGTGAAGTGGAGCATCGTCAAATGCAATCAGTGCGGCAACGCAATTCGTCAGCTCAGCACACGCTCAAGGATTAACGCACATTGTGAAAACAAACACATACACATACACACACACACACACATACACACACACGCCGGCAAGGATAACAGAGGTCACAAAATGCACGTCTTCCAACTGCTTCTAAGCTGCTCTATCTTGAGTTTAGCCCTAGCCCGCCCCCAATACGGCTATGAACAACCACTGAGCATTGGAGGTGATAGTGGTCAGCTAATCAGCAGCCCAAATAACGGTCAATTGTCGCTAGGTCTGCCGCTGGCGCATCGTGGAGGCGACAAATATCTGCCACCAGCAGCTACAACACAGGCGCCAATCATCAATAAGAAATTCTATCTAATCTCGGCACCGGAAGATCACAACAATGACAACAAAGTAAAGCACTTGGTGCTGGGCAGGCCACAGAAAAATTATCGGGTCGTTTTCATCAAGGCGCCGGCGGGTGATAACGCCAATGTGAAATATTCAGCTGAATTTGCGCCACAGGAGGAGAAGACTGTTATCTATGTGCTGAGTAAGAAGGACAATGATGTGGATGCCAATGACATCGCAACGCCGGCGCCTACACAGCCAAGCAAGCCAGAGGTCTTCTTTATCAAATACAAGACCGATGAGGAGGCGCAACAGGCGCAAAAGGAGATCCAAGGACAATACGATAAATTGGGCGGCACCAGCGAATTCCAGGAGGAGAGTAATGCGCCAATTACCTCAATCATTGGCTCTTTGGATGGCCTCAATCCCGATGGTAGCTACAACTATCGTCAGATAAATGGCGGAGGCAGAATTGGTAATCGTCCCGTCGCCCAGCCCAGCCCTCAATATTTGCCCAGTTCATTAAATCATTAGGAGTGTCTGGCGAGCTGTTCTCAATTGTTGGTATTTTTCGAAATGTTGTTACCTTATTTTAAGTATATTTTTTTCGTTTTTTTTTTTCATCGATATAAATAAAAGAAAAAATGCTATATTTAAAAAGTAAAAATGCGCCATCATTTTTTGGGGCACACTACAAGGTCAGTGCGTAATTTCCCAGTCAAAACAAAATGTCATTTAAAAAATTAATAAAAATGTCATAAATAAATAAAATGGCGAAATAAAAGCTCATGTTGGTGCTCGGCTTTTGTTTTCCCCGACGCAGCCACATGAAATTAAAGACGGAATTCAAATCAATTCAAATGATGCCGCTAACAAAAACGAAAAAATAATAATAATACTAATAATGAAGCGGACAAAGCATCGCCCAATTGAGCTGAAATTAGCCTAAATAAAGTTAAAAATTAAAATGAGCTCATAAAAATTAATTATAATTGAATTTAACGCATATTTCGACTGGCTGTTAATCTGACGCTGCATACTAAATACGACAAAATCATTAACATTTCAGTATTCAACACTTGGTGCTGCTTCATGCTAGAAGAAGAATCAAGATCCCCCCAAATGCAATATGGTCTAAAGCCACGGTAAGACATGTCGACAGTCGAAAATGGGGCTGATTCCCCGCAGGAGCGTTTTCGAGCCTCTTCAATAGCTGACTCGCTGGATAAAGTTACAGAACAGAAACGTTGAAAGCCATGTGCATTACCAACCTCTGAGAATGTGGACACTTCGAAAGGGGAAAGATTTATTTCCAGTACCTTAGGGAAATACTAGACCATTAGCTTAGGACATGTAGCCCGGATCCATCACTAATCCTGAATATTTTCCTCAGAAATCCAACCACTACTTCACCTGAAAGTACATCCCACCCTCACGCAGGAGAGTTGCTGAGTGTCCATCTTCTAGCATTTGGTCAAGCAATTTTATATTAAGAAAACTTTGACCAGCGCTGGCCAAGAGTCAATATCCAAGGCGATAACTCGCAAAGGTATTTATCACTCCATCATTTCCTGGATGGGGTCCTGCTTACCTCCAATACATATCATCCAGAATTGATCTCTTGTGATCGACTCAAAAGGCATCAGATGGCTATACCTGTAGTGATATACGACGCCCTTATCTGATAGCCTAAGCTGAAGCTGACTTCTGTATTGAAATGCAAAACTTGTCTGTGCATCCCTATTGGGCCATTCGTAGGATTGGATCAGAAATCTAGTTCACTAATCAACACGGTAACAAGTTACAAGACCATACAAATTCACTTTTACAGCAAATGTGATCCTAGCAGTCTGCTAATATGCAGGCAGATCAAAATATATTATATAGTATAATTTAAACCACTTTTTATATATTCTATGTTATATACACGTATACAAAGAGACGGACTCACAGTTTTACTGTCTTCAATAACAAACATAACACAATTTTTCGTAATAAAACTTATCATAAATCAAATCAGTTGAGTTTTTGGCTTAAATGCCACATGAAAGTGTGGGAATTACGCGTCAGTTTATGTAAATTTAGGTGCTTAATATAGTCAGCAAGCAGCGGATGTCGAACCAGTTCAAAAATGAAATGAATTTATGCAGCCCACCTCTGTTGATATTTTAATTGTTACGAGTATGAGTTGTTGACAGTCGAACGAATATGGAATATGGAGCTAAACGCATGGCCAAATGAACCAATCAGCTTATCTACACCGAGGCTGTGAGGCTACAAAGAATCGGAACGCCTAAATAAGCCCAATGGCAACGAAATCAATGGGCAACATCAGTATTAGAAACAAAGACGACGATGGCAATACAAACAGGTCATTAGTGCCCAAAAATACGCGCCTGGATGTAGGCACTGAAAAATACGAGTTTTCATTTGTAGTTTAAAGACCGCTTTACAAACATAGTACGCAAAAAATTCAAATCATTAATTAATCAGAAAAATTAATGAGAAAAATTTAAGCAGCCTTTAAAGCATAGGCAAGTTGTCACTGGGCAATTTTAGCTTCGCTTTTTTTTGACTTAAATATGCAGGCCACCAATCACCAAAAACAACAATACAATACACTTGAAACAAACAAGTGGAAAAGCTAAAGTCGGGTGCACCGACTTTAAAGTACCGTGCACCTTTGCGTACAATCTACATAAATACAATTGTTTGTCCTGACTGATTGACTAATTGGTGATCAACGCACAGCTCAAACGGTAAAAGCTAGGATGTTGAAATTTGGACTCAAAAATATCTCTTTACAAAGAGTGGGTTTGGAAAATTCGAGCTCCAAAGGGGGAAAACAAGCTCCACAGTTTGTATAAAAAATCGGAACTTTTCAACCGATCGTCTTCAAACTCAGTTTGTATAGTTTTCTGAAATTTTTCCTGGGGCCTGAATTATAGGCGTTTTCCAGCAGAAAAAAAGTTGGGGCGCAAAGGACCCCAAAGTCCCCAAAGTTTGTTTGCAAAATTTGAAATTTTCCTCCGATCGACTTTCGTTTATTTTTCGTTTTCTTTTTATAATCTACGAAAGAATACAAAAATACATACTTGATTTTTCGAAATTTTTGGAATTTTTTATTTTTATTCTTTATTTAAGATCTGTCCTATTTTGTACATTTATTAAATTATATGATAACTTTGACATTTTTGTAAACATGCTTCTTGTCATGATGGTTGCGGCGTGATTCGAATCGAATACCTACTCAAGGAACGAAATCACATGGTGGGATTCCTGCTAGCTCGCTGAGCTATGCTAGGCGCCCCTTGAATGATTCGGGTTGTAACATTTGTTTCACTTTAAGAAAAAAAAAAAAGGAATGCTAAAGTCGAGCAGGCTTAACTCTTAAATACCCTGTACCACCCCACAAAAAAGAAATTAAATTAATTTAATTAATTATCTAATGGGGGCCTCGGTGGCGTAGTGGATAGCGCATGCGCACACCAAACAAGAGGTCGTGGATTCGAGCCCCACTCATGGCGAGAGCATGACCCAAAAATGTCTCCTCTCGAAAACTCTCCTAAATACATGCCTTCAACGTCGTGGTCATTTATCCACAAAAAAGAACACATCCATCCACGCTATCTGGACAACACAATAGTTTAACCCCCCAAGACGTCTCTCCCCGGCGGCGACAGGTGGCGGCCCCACCACTGGGATAAGTCGCATCTGGCCAACCACCAGGCCGACTGACAACAAATGATTATTGAAACTTATACAAGACAAATGAACCCAAAACGGCTCCACTTCGATGTCGATGTTACGGATACTCTGGAGGAACACTTCCAAGAAAGCAGTCGGGTCGACAGACCTAAAAAAAAGACGACAACCTGGCGGCGGATTACCTTCAGAATTTAACACAGAAACAACACCACATGGGATACAGCCAAGACAGACAGACGGCTAGAAATTGAGAGTCAGATGGAAAAATGTTCTTGTAGAAGCCCTAAGCTCCCAAGCGGAGTAAAAAAGAATAAAAATCAAGACAGAACGCTACAGTCGAGCAAGCCCGACAGTAAAATAGACTGTACTCTCCACAAAAAAGAAAAAACTAAAAAAAAATATTAAAAAAAATTAAATTATTTAAAAAAAAATTTAAATAATTTATTGAATCAATTAAGAAAATTTATTTAATACATACATAGAAAACATGTTTATGTACAGTTTTACATTTACATCACTTATCTTATATACGCATATATGTGTTTATATACGTGTATATACATATAAGCAACAACAACAACAGATGCGGGCAGCGCTGCAAGCAGAGCATGAGCAGCGATTTCATTTATGGCTATAACTTTCTTCAGAATTGACCTATCATGATGAAACTTGGCATACGGGCACATAAGCACTAACTGGACGTAACTACTAAAACTAATTTCAAAATTCCAAGAATTACGGAAGTTGTAAAAAAACAAGAATTGCGGGGAGTGGGGGGGTGTATCAGAATAAAAAAATAAACTTGACCTGCCTAGGGCTTATGGGAACTTGGATACCAAGTTTGGTAATTCTAGCTCTTGTACCTTCTGAGATCCTTGCGCTCATACAGACGGACGGACGGACAGACGGACATGGCTAAATCGACTCGGCTTGTCACCCTGATCAAGAATATATATACTTTGTGGGGTCTGCCACGCCTCCTTCTGTGTGTTACATACATTCGCACAAAACTAGTATAGCCTTTCACCCTTTGGGTACAGGCTATAAAAATAAAAAAATTAATTAAATGAAATTAATTAACTAAATTAATTAAATTAAATTAATTAACTACATTAATTTAATTAATTAACGAAATTAAATATAAAATATTCCATACAAGCATACATACATTTACATTTACATCAGAATCGTGTCTATGTGTGTTTGTGTACTTGTGTTATTAGCTAATTATAGATACACACCAATTAATGAGCCAATTTTTGTGAATAAATGAAATGAAATATTACTTGTGCATAGTTTATGTAACATTTTTCTTTCTTCTGGGTTCTATACCAACAATAAAATACCCGTTACCTTTTTATTGGACGGTATAAAATCATTTTATAAACAAAATATGTTAATCATTAAGGAACAATATCATAGTATTACTAATACTATTGAGGTGGTGTTGTCATTATCATCCATGCCGACTTTAAGTCCAAACACATCTATGTATTACTTATACCTGATGCTGCTATTTCCTCTCACAATATAAACAAATATTTAATATATGGCTTTTTTTAATAAACTGATGCTTAAACTTTTAACAATTTTACGCACAATTAATTTATAACAACAAACAGCGGGTGAGCACGTTCGTTGCCTAAGTCTTTTGTTTTAGAGTAGCACATTAAATGTGCTGTAATAATCAATTAATTATGCGAGCGACGCAGCCACCAGAGAAAATGGGCGACTGAACAGTGGTTTAACAATATACATTTCGGTGAATGAAAAAAAAAAACAAATGAGTCAACAATTAAATGTGGGCTTTTAAAATGGATCTTCAGTTCAACTATTATACGCCTTGTAATAAGATTTGTAAACGTATCTACATATGTACATGCGAAGTTTGAAGTCCCTAACTGTTATGGTCAAAAAGATCATTTATACATATTTCGGACTATATTTTATACTCAGAGAGATTATTTTCCATAGGATCGCTTTGAAATAAAACGCTAAGATACACACAAATATAACTGATTAAAAAATTGCCATATCCAGCGATGCTGTTTTATGTTGCAAGATAAATTTAGACCACTGTGCCCCGCAGCAGCCTGGTGCTTGAGCTTAACAGATTTTGCCAACGGATAAGGAGTTTTCTTTCTCTTTACCCAGATTTAATGTTGTCTAAACTACATACAAGCGATTATGAAAGATCTTGGTAGTTTTTCGCACCCGATTTCCCAGCGACTCGTGTATATAAGTAAGGGTGCATTTGAAGGTTCCCTCTGAGTTCGCCGTGCTTAATTCACCTATTCGCATTATGGACAACTTTTTCGCTTATATTTTGGTGCTTTGGCTAAGTCTGCAGCATTTTAGAAGCGAAGCTTTGCCAGGTCCATTTTATTTGCCGCCCAGCTCAAACACAAACCACAACTCTGGCAATCAGGATGGTGCGATCATTACAAAACAGTTTTATACCATTTCGGCACCAGAGGAGCCGTTAGATTCACAATCGAACACCAAACACCTACTCATTGGACGCCCAACTCGCAATTATCGTGTAATTTTCATACGCGCGCCCAGCTCCGAGAATGCTCAGCTTAAGTACACGGCGGAACTGGCGCCGCAGGAGGAGCGCACTGTTATTTATGTGCTCACGCGCAAGCAGAAGGAACTGGATGCCGAGGACATCGTGGCGCCCACCCAGAACCAGCAGCTACAGAAGCCGGAGGTTTTCTTCATCAAGTATAAGACAAATGAGGAGGCAGTGGCAGCACAGCGCGAGATACAATCGCAATACGATGAGCTGGGCGGCAATTCCGAGCATGCGGCGCCTTTTGTAGCACCCGTTCAGTCGGTTATTGGTGCCTTGGACAATGGTAACGCTGTGGTAGCCAATAATGTTAACAATTCTGCCGGCTATGAAAATCACAAGACAAATGCTGGGTATTATTATCAGAAGCCCGCTCCATTAACGCCACTTCTGCCGCCGTCGTTTGGACGTAGCTTCTAACAGAGATCGCTTCCCACTACTTTACAACAAAAAACAATAACAAAAGGAAGACATTAAATGACCAAATATGCACTTATGTACAACTCTATCATCAACCAGCGCCGGCGCCAGTTTTCTGCGTTTTCTTGTTTTATTGTACAACGGGCTAATTGGACTTAACGACTGCCCCACGAGCAACTCAAAGCCCATTAAAACTTGTCGCTGCGGTTGGAAATTAAAGGCGCGCGCATTTGCATAGAAACTGATAAGAAAAACAGAAACTCGTCATAAAAGATAGCAAAATAAAACAAAAAAGAGTTTTCGTTTTTTATCGAATAATTTTTGCAAAGTTTTTTTTCTATCTCATGCATATGTATGAATGTAGTGCAAGTGTTTTTTTTTCGCAAAGTGCTTTGACCCTGTGCCAACTGACGACGTCTGATGTGCTAACGGCTTCCTTCGTCAATGCGGACGTGCATATTTGTCGCCTTATGTGTTTTGTCCAGCATGTATATGGGAAGTGTATACACTCAACACAGTATTGCATTGAGATTGCAGGATGCCAAAAAAAACCTTCTATACTACTGCTGAATATGTTTCGTCCAGCTTCAACAAGAACAGTCGCTACGTATACGAGTATATCGGGTAAATCATGAGAAAAGGCACGAAACTTACTACTAATTGACCCAATTCTGATACGACTATAGAATGTTGCATAACTACATGGCTCTTCAATAGCTATTCAATTCAGCTATTGTATGAAAAAGTATAAAAAACAAGAACCAGTCCATTGTATGTACGAGTTTTTATATATAAAAAATATATATACTTACTATACATACATATATAAAAAAGTTTTAAAAAAATTAAATTTTATACAATCAGGCCAAACTACTTGCAAGTCAGTGTTTACTGATCGCAACAAGAAGTTATGTATGTTCTTCTGAAAAAATACTATATAAGAGGCAAAGAAAGAGCAAAAAGAAAGATTGCAGAGACTATCCGCCTTATTTAATTATCCCACGATGCTATTCACGATCTGGTAATATTAAACAATTGTAGTAACCCTTTTTTCAGAGAGCATTTAGATGAGTTTCGTTTCATTGGAAATACAAGTATTTAGGTAAAAAGTTTAGTTAGTTCAGTATAGCTGAGAGACGCATTCACTAAATCTAGAAACGCGTTGCCTTAGTAGTTTTAACTTCAAGTTAACAATTTAAAATATTGTAGAACTAGCAATAACTGGCTGACAAGTGGAATTGTAACTGTAACTTAAAATTCGCAATGTTTCTTATTAGAACTATACATATGTGATTGATCATGCGTTCTTAACCCATAATTGTATAAGCAAATTTTTGTAGCTCTACAATATCCGTACCTCACCAATTATATTAAGTAGTATATCTATCAATCACATATGCAGGGGATCAGTTGCGTCTCACAGCCACAAACTGTAAAGTTGAATGTTAGACATTAGTTAAATTTACATAAACTTTGCAAATCAATTTGGCAAACAAAAAAGGCATATACAATCTCTGATACACGTGCACTTTTTAACGCCAATGCATTTTTTTTCCTCTTTTTTTTTGGTAGATTTTTAATTAACTGGATTTCGAATTTGGCCATTATTTCGCATTTTATACCCTACAGCCGAAGGGTAAAGAGGGTATACTAGATTTGTGCAAAGTATGTAACAGTAAGCATTTCCGACCCCATAAAATATATATTGTAAGTGCTTAATCAGCATGATAGGGCAAGCCCACGAAGCCCACACTGATCAAATTTGGTTGAAATTCTTTTCGAAATTCTTATTTTGTATCTAATTGTACATCTTTATTTCAAATCAGGTCATGATTTGATTTCATGATTTCATTTTGTTGATTTATGCCGCTGCGGAATTCGTCAATAATAACTGCCTTTTCGAAATTCCTATTTTGTATCCAATTGTATATCTTTATTTCAAATTTGACGATTAGAAAATCTATTGCCCAAACAATTTTAATCCAGTACTAACCACGTAAATTGTAGGGTTTTTGCTTCTGATATGCTTTGGTTTCTGGGTACAGGGTATTTCAGTGAGGAACTTGCCCGACTGCTGTTTAAACTGTATTTTTAAAGTTGCGTGGTCAAATACATTTGTATCGACGTGTCAAACTTTTTATGATTGGCAGCTAAGACACTAGGAGCTATTAATCTTAACGTCTGCGCCGAAGAAGGCGACGAAGATAAATAAGAACATGCAATAACTAGCTTCAGCGTAATCAGCTGGCACATCATTGCAACAGGTTTGTGTTCTAAGTCAATTGACTTTTCTTGAATATTACAATTATTGGCCATATGAGTATGTAATTAGTATCATGCAACAAATGACCAAAATTGATCGAGTGGCCACAATACAAATGTGTTTGCACACAGAACTTGTTGACGTTTTTTCCCAGCTCATCGGCGGCACCATTTCAAAAAAAAGACACACACACACACAGACATTTGTTGTTATATTTTTATAAATAAAAATATTTATAAACCATTTCTATATGCATACATACCAAATGCTTTTTAGTTGCTTTGATAGACTAATGTTCAAGGCTGTAAGCATGCATAAATCATAACATCTTAGCCATATAAAATGCGGTTTTAACGCAACGGAAACATCGGTTGGGCGAGTCGGCATAGTCGAGCGCTCTAATACCCGTCCAAAACGCATTCAAATTATGGCAGTTATATTGAAATTTTGTATTCTTCTTTTATTAAAGGCGGCATTTCGGTATATGGTGTTGAACCGAGATAAAAATAAACTATGATTCAAAGTTGTCTGCGTATTGTGCGACAGAGTTGTTGTAGTAGTTGTTGTTTTGTTGTTGCTGCTCATCTTGTTACTGGATTTGGTGAACGTAAAGCTATTGCTGCCTTTGCCGACACCGAGGTGCAAGCTGCTTACTGATAACCTGCCTGCCGAGGAGGTCGTGCCAATTTTTTATTAGAAGTAGGTGTACCATTTAAATAGCATTGATTAAGAAAGATACATATGTAGATGGCTTTACCTTATATGTACATTGTAACAATTTGTCTTGCATTAGATATCAAAACACATGGATTTATAATTTTGTTTTTAAATGTTATTCCAGAAGAGTGCAAAAATAATACCTACGATATATAATTCCATATCTATCCAAAGTTCTTGTTCTCACGTTGTTGCTTCTGCATATAACAATGCATCTAACACAACAGTGAATGTTTTAAGTACTATATTAAGCAAAACATGTAAACTATATAAATTCTTACTCAGCATGTCGTAACAAATCGATCTGTATAACTGTCTGTATGGACGAGCGCCTGGTTTGGAAAACTGCTGAACCCCCACATTCACCAAACTTGGTATGCAGATATAGAAGACTATTTCCTATTTGATTATTTGCTTTTGTGCGTAATGAAAAGTTTTTTCAGTACAGAATTGAGCCAAAGCAGCAACAACAATCACAGCTGCGGACAGATCTTGGTCAGAGATTTATGGCGGTAACTAACTTATCATCCTGATAAATAAATATAAAATAAATAATATATATTTTATATTGTAGCGTCGCCACGCCTTCTTCTGTGTGTCTGTCGTTGGCTCTTTATTCCCCCCTTCACACGCAGCAGAATTTCTTCAATACTGTCCACTTTTCCAAAGCCAAATAATTTTCCAAACTACAAAACTGTAATCTTAATTTATGTATGTCAACAAACATTGACTGTCGGGGGAATATTATTTGCCCTTCGACTAGCTGTGCTTTATACAATAATCTACTTTTGTTTGAGATTACACTTACATCGGCCAATTCTAAATAAAGTTATTAGCCAGATAATTTCACTCCAGTACTACGCCCACAAACTGTGGCATCAAGTTCGCTCTTCTTCTTCATTTTGCTGTTGCTATGGGCGCATATTACTCAGTGCCGGAAGTTTGTTCGGGTGCAGGGTATTTCACTGTCGGCCTTGCTCGTATGTCTCTTTCGTTTGTCAGAAAAAGGGTTATATAGAAAATAAAAAACAAACCCAATATTTTCCCCGGATTTTTATGACATCATAAAATGGTTTCAGGTGCTGTCAACGCCGAAGAACCCTTTACCGCTCCCGTTATTCCACCAGGTAGATTAAATGGAACTGCATTGAGCTGTGGCTGTATTATTGCCTAAGATTTGGTTTCGCATCAGAGGCATGCATTTGCAGGATTCGACGCTAATAGCCCGCAGGGTACACAGCAGTGAGCGCATTTGGAATGGCGACTTAACAATTCGCATTGCGCGGTGCGAATTTTAACATGGCTTTAAAGCTGATATTAATGGTGTATGTAAAGGTCGATTTCGTCAGACAACACTTGCTGGGCTTGACAATGGAAAATCTAAATAAAAGTCTTCTATATGCAAGATATACAAATTCCTACGCCTTAAAATGTAGGATTTACTGAAGCCATAATTAACTCTTAAGGCATTCAAGGAGTATTTTCAACAGCGTTTTAATTTAAGGAAATTATATTAACAATAATAAAGTTATGTTAATGTAAATTTGAAAAGAATAATAGGTTTTTCAACCTCAAACTTGGTGGAACTTTTTATATTACCAATACATGCTCTTTAAATAACATCAGACCTTGATAAACGATTCTAAGCCATTTTGTATGAAATTCGAAAAAAAATGCTCGAAAATTAAAAGGTAGTTGAATTTGTAATAATAAATCGGTTTTATTTATTTTGTGTGATTATGAAATGTGAAATATGTGTAAAAAAGAAATACTTAAAGTCGTATAGTATGTAGCTTCCCAACAAAACCTACAAAAATGAATTAGTCTCCTTTCGGAAAATTCTTTATACTCTTTTTTAACGAAAAACAAAAAATTAAGTTAAAAAAAAAAAACAACCAATATGTATGTAGACAAGTGTTGATATATTGATTTCATTAAGGGTACTTTTTGGGAATGTGTCTAGCACACTAGAATACACGGTTTTTGTTGGGAGCCAACCTAAATTTATCCGTCTCTTGTGTTATATTCATAATATTTGTAATTTTGGTCCCATTTCTTATAACATTCCTGGTATTATTTGTTTGCTAAATCTTCAGTGGGACTTGTTTTACATATGTGAATACACAAGGCACTCTTTAATGAAAATTTTCGCATTTTCTTAGCTTACTTTTGCATTAATTTGAAGGTGAACTTATTAACCTTCAACTGATATTAGCCATTGCATACTTTCAGGCGTACGTAATACAAATGCAAAATACGAAATTCTTACTCAATATGTATGCATGGTTACGAGTATATATGTATAGTAGAGTAGTATATGTAGTAAAGGAGAATAAGTTTGGCTTGAATTAATTGGAATGGATGTTGAGGAACATAGAGCGTGGAGCAATGAACTGAATCAGTTCATGCAAGCCAGAGGACACGCTTAAGGAACAAGCTCAGAGGAACAGCAACAAGATCATAAACAACAATTCTGAGGGCAACACACGCACACAAATGATACACGTTACCCGAGTGGCATACAAAGGAGCAAGCAGTCCTGCCGTGATGAGGCTCGTAGGGTGCCATTTACGTCGTCATCAGATCAGGTCTGGCGTTAAAAATTTCCCAACCCAGTCGTTTGTCACTTCCCGATTGAGGCACTCCAAAGCGGGCGCCACTACAGTCGGGGCGTTTGTTGAACCAAGAAGTGAGACATCTTGGCCAACTGCTTCTGTGAAAACAACAAGAAATTGTTTTGGCACATGTGGTCGCACCTAATTACCATTACGGAGCATCAGAAGTCTGATCATGGATCAGTAGCGTTACAAAAACCCGTCTGATCATAAAATAAATCCCGCATGTGCGCAAAAATTTGCAAATTGAAGCGCATTTTATGAGCGCAAATGTTTTTGCCAGTGGTCAGGATAAAGGAGACCTCATAAAAGTTGCGCCGCTAAGCCGGTTGTTTTATGGTGCGAATGCCGATGAAGGAGCACGTGCGTGCCTATTGGACAGGTAGCCAGACATTTGACGGGCGGTCGGGCCGACAGGCCATGCAAATTAGGTACACCCGGTATACCTGGGGCGGGAATAAATACCAAAGCCACCGACCGATGCAGACACAGACGTTCCGCAGCAGTCAGAAAGCAAACATCGAAGATCAAGCGAAGGCATTACATCAAATTTAATTCCTAGTCAATCGCTTAAAAGTAGTCGAACGAATATCTATCATGGGTGCCACACACAGTTCCCAGTATGATCGAAGCGGGAAAAAGAATGCCACCAGCTTGGCGATCAGTAAGCCTCACATTTTTTGTCTGCCCAGCCTCAACCTCCGACTACCCGGCATGCTGCGCAAGCTCCGTCGCAGCTTAACAAATCGTTTACGCCTGCGCCTAAGACGTCGGAAAGGACATAATGGAAGCAAATCAAGTGCTCGGAAGCTGACACGGAAAACCTCAAGTGCCGCACTACTTCGTCCCATGCCACGGTGCAGCTCGTTCGGCTCCTGCGGCACGCTACTGACGCCCACCAAGCTCAACAAGATGTCCAAGGCCGACTGCCGCTATGCTCAGTGGAAGTGCATGTTCGAGGATCCGGATTCCAGTCCGGCGCCGTTACTAATGCGCCGACCGCATGACATCAGCGAAGCTTTGTCGGGACAGACAACGCCCCGGGGCTTTCCCTCCCATACGGATGCACGTCAGTGGCAGCAACAGCAGAACCCAGCTGAACCGCTCTACGATTTTGTTGGCGAGATTAAGGTGCGGCGTCGTCTCTCCTTTCGTCTGCCCAAGCTTAACACCGAGCAGGGCAGCATGCGGCGACCAACGGCGCGTCAAAGAGCGGCGCAGGCTCAGCTGGAGGCGCAACTGAAGCGCGACCTCTGCGACCTGGAGGAATACTACGGCGGTTTCTACTTCACGCGCCAGCCAGGCGAGCGAATGGTGCTCATTTAGACACCAGCAGGCCGTTCCAGCATAGCCAAATTGTGATAGTTTTTACGTATTTAAATAATGTAGCATGTAATTTTACAAGTAATTGAATAAAATTCAATCTTAACCAATTGAATGTGTTGCTATGAATTTTCTTTAAGGGTCCGCCACACAGTTGGAAAGTTCAAATTCCCTAAACAAGCATTGCAATGTTTTAAATTCAAAAAAATAAAATAAATTCCTTTCTCGGACCTTTGGTTACTCCAGCTTTTATAGTTTCTGAGATCCTTCGGTTCATCCACACAGACGGACGGACGGACATGTCTAGATCGATTTCTCTCGTCATGCTGATTCAGAATATATATACTTTATGGGGTCGGAGGTGCTTCCTTCTGCATGTTACACACTTTGCACAAACCTAATATACCCTTTTTGCCCTACGGGTACAGGGTTTAAAAAGTCTTTATATATAAATATTGAAAGCATTAGATTTTGACGAATTATAATAAGCTTGCAAGGGTATAAAAGCTTCGGCACGCCAAAGCTGACCTAATTTTTGTACTTTTTCACACTTGATATCTGCTTAATGAACGTTAGAAGCTTAACTGTCGTTTGTCATCTGACTAATCAATTAATGTTTAAGTTTACTCTAGAGCAGTCAACTAAATCTTGGCCACGCCAGACAGTTCATGTTGTGGATATCGTAGTTCCCGTTCTAATTGCCTATTCGCCGACGTGCATAGTTTTGATGAATGGCGAGTATTTCTTCTTCTCGACTGCCCTCCCTGAGGCTCATCTTGGGTAATATTGCAGTTCATAGTTCTCGGCCAAATCCCACCAACACCACATTAATAAGAAGCCTTGGCATCTGCGAGCCGAGCAAGAAAGTTAGAACGAGCCCAAATGGGTGCGATGGGTTGTTGGCCAAATGTCAAACGAATGCATGTGAATCGAATTGAGTGCAATAACCTCATAAGCACTAACCAAACGTAATTCCAGGAATTACAGGAGTTATGAAAAATTATTAATAACGGGTGAATGGGGGGCTGGAAGACCATTTTAAAATATACTTCTACTGTATAAACATATAACGCATCTATGTATGGTATCTCTAGCTCTTATAGTCTCTAAGACCATCAGAAAAAAAAAACTTGTACTGTGCCAACTACCCTCACACGTTATCGAAAATATTAATATCAGCGGAATGAGGTGTGGAGCACAAAAACACTAAATTATTACAAAGTTTCGTGCAACAAAAAAAAAAAAAACAGGAATACATTGTATAAGAGATCGTATGTAGACTTTTGGCGCCCACTGTATGTCATTTAATGCTCATGTGATAATTGGTAAAGCATTTGCACCTTAGCTGCTCTAACTGTAAGTTCATAAGTACATACTACGAGTATGCGCAATTACAACAGATATCAACCGTAAAAGATCTTGGAACTTAAACTTCAGTCTTCAGATCTCCACTAACGTAGGCAATTTTTCACAAATGATTGAGAGACAATGAAGAAAAGTTTCGTGAGGAGGCATATCATGGACTTTTGTATCAAAAATGAAACATTTGTCTTTTGTAAAAAAAATTAATGTGATCTGGGCTTATAGGCAAAGGTAGTATATAGTAAGTATGTATGTAGAGGCCACTTTTGGTCCAAAGAGCAGTAAATTCAGTTGAGGCACAAAGATGAGGAAGTGCGGACCCGATGCTGCAAAATTAAAGTAGAGAATTTTAATTATGTCTGCATTTTGACAGAATTTTGAACAAACCAAAAGAAACTCGTCTTCCAAGGGACTTGTAAATTGGGTATTTCGAAGTTTGAAAGCTGATTTCGGCCAACTACTCTATGGTACTTTTGTATGAGTTCCTGTTTTTTAATTTTTTTCGTATACACAGATGGATCAAAATCCACTCACACAACAGCTTTTGCCATCACAACAGAACAATCTGTCCTCAAAATTGGAATCCTACCAACATATACATCAATATACTCAGCAGAAATAATTGCCATCCTAGAAGCTATTAATCTTATCAAAACAAAAAGGAGAAAGTTCATCATATGTTCTGACTCCTTATCTGCACTAAAATCGATCAGGAACATTGATAACCACGGCCTCTATGCGAAAATAATTAGAAATCTAATTATGCGCTCACCTAACAAAATAAAGCTTATGTGGATACCAAGCCATATCAACATTAAAGGTAATGAGCTCGCTGACTCAAACGCCAAGTCAGCTTACAAATTACCCCTCATCACCACAATTAATTACAATACAAACGACATCAACAAATATTACAAAACTCAATATACATCGGACCAACATAACCACAATCTTTGCTCCACCTGGTATAAAAAAATAAACCCAAAAAAGACTAACATTCAAAATATCTTGAAAAATTTACAACACAATGAACTTTCAAGGCTCGACCAAACCAAAATTATCAAACTAAGACTGGGTCACACAAAACTCACAAACGAACACTACTTAAATAAAAACATCTCCAAATTCTGTCCACTATGCCAAACAAACAGCCAGATAAATATTGAACACCTACTCATTCAATGTCCCACATTAACAGCCGCACGCACAAAATACCTAGCTGATAATAACCCCATCCACATCCTCTCAAATCCTACAGCAGAAAACCTAAAAATAATAATAAACTTCCTAAAAACAAACCAAACTATACAACAAAATTTAAGGCTATTACATATAAACATCTGTCAACACATATCTATAAATGTAAATAATGTAAATATAAATTTAAATAGTACAATTAATTATTTAATTAATAGTTAAAATGTAAACAAATATAGCTTAAGGCCCTGGTAGCCAGGCTATAAACCTCTGTTAGCTTATAGTTTTAACTTTAAGCTAGCCCATAAATAAATAAATAAATAATTTTTTTTGTTTCTCGGTAAACAAAATGTAACTCATTTATGTAATATACCTAAGTGTTCATATTTATATTACTAATAATGAAATTAATCAAATATTTTATTTCAAATAATTATTGGAAGCAAATATTTAAAACAGTTTTTGTTTAGTAACCAGTAATAGTTACTAAAGCAGAGAAATACAAAATACATTTCTCACAAGCCTATAACGTTTAAATAATAAATAGGCAATAAAAAGAAGACTTTGATTAATTTCTTTTTTTTTTTTAAAAAAAACTAAATATGTGCCGAACACAGTGATGGGTAAACGATTCCAGCTTAAATTCTATTTTTGCGGAAGTATTATTTCGATAATTTTTATGAAAAATTCGCAGTCAAGAAGCAAATATTTTAAGAATATTTAGATAGAGAAGAATAATAGCAACACTCGGCGGACAACAAATCAGTTTTGACATTTGGGGCGTGGACGGCAGACAAATGGGGTTCATTAACAACATTATTATATAATAATGTGTATATACAAAATGGGCAACAAAACAACCGATAAATTAAAAGAACAAACAAGAACAGATAAATTGCTGCTGGCCAAAGAAAATGAAAGTACCGTCAAGAAGACAACAAGAATGAAGAGGATTTTTTGTGCGATTACTGTTTATTTTTTTATACCCTGTACCCGTAGGGTAAAAAGGGTATATTAGGTTTGTGCAAAGTATGTAACATACAGAAGGAAGCATCTCCGACCCCATAAAGTATATATATTCTTGATCAGCATGACGAGAGAAATCTATCTAGACATGTCCGTCCGTCTGTCCGTCCGTCTGTCCGTCTGTCCGTCCGTCTGGATGAACGCAAGGATCTCAGAAACTATAAAAGCTAGAATAACCAAAGTTGGCATCCAGATTCTCCTAGGTCCGGTAAGGACGAGTTTATTTTATTTTTTGGAATTTTCCCCCCTTTTCCCCGCTACAGAATTTCGTCAATATCGTCCACATTTCAAATGCTACCTAAACCAAACTTTGCACAAATAATTTATATATAATTGTCTATTGTTGTTCAAAATTTTATTCAATTCGGTCAATTCTAAGAAAAGTTATTAGCAAAACAAATTCTCGCCTGTACAACCCCCCCAAACTGCAGCAACAAGTTCGCTCTTCTTCTTCCTCTTTTTGCTGCTGCTATGGGCGCATATAACTCAGTGACGCAAGTTTACCTGGGTACAGGGTATTACACTGTCGGGCTTGCTCGACTGTAGCGTTCTCTCTTGTTATTAATATACTTACTATAGTATATGATATCTTTTTGGTGGATTATTGCTTCGTACAATGTTTTGATACTTTGCTCTCTTTTTTCGGCGGAAAATGTAACTTTTTTAATTACACACATCAAGTGTTAGTATTATTTTTGTAATATATTGCTCAAATGACGTTGCCATTTTCATAGTTTGTACCCAATGGGTCCGGATGAATCGTTAGAAGTTCAATAGCTAGAATAACCAACAACTGCTCGACTAAAGCCTTCTTTTCATTTCCATTGGCTTAGGATCTTCTAGTGGTGATCGGGCGAATTGCCGTCCGCTTGCCCTTTAAATGATTGCGTTTGAACTGATCTCCTGATGTTAATATTTATTTATATTTATATTTTAATTCAGCCAACAGGAAAAACTGAAATACTGGTGATAAATCTGATTTGCTTTATAAACAGAACAACGAATTTGAACACAATTGGGGGAAAAACGCCGCTTACTTATAATCTTTACATCACATTAACTAGAGCGGGTATAATTTACTAAAACCCGCTCAATAATTTTTTATCTGGAGTATAGGAATGAAGTTTCAGTCAGATAAAAATCAAAATTTGCCCCATAAGACCTTTGAAGCACCTTTGACCGCATCGGTTAAGGGTTTCCTTCCAACACCAAAGAAAACCTTGGTCAAAATTGTGTGCCTTGGACGACGATAAGGACGAAGATTTTTATACGAGATGCAAAGATCGTTGCGCAATGCGGATGAATCAATATATGCATATTTAATAGCAATAACAGTCGCACGAGGGGCAAACGTCAAATCAGACAAAATTGCAGCTGTGTCAATGAAGCGGCGACGATTTGCAAACGATCAATTGGCAGCTGGCGTTTGCTCTTTGATTTATAGCCGAAACTCCAACAACAGTGACAATGGGTCACATTAAAGGAAGCAGTATCTGAGTGGAACTTAGGCAAACAGAGGGCGAGCATGAGAGAGGGAGGGAGGGAGAGAGAGAGCTGGAGTGCTGAAGAGGTTCAAAAGCTGGCAAGTCAAATGTCAGAGGTTCGTGGAGCGCAATAATTAAGCAATTAATTAAACAGCAAATCACACCGAAATCAAAACAGATAAACCTATAGAGGGGGGGCCACACAAATTATAGAAAAAAATAGTAGAAAAAACTTTAAATAAAACAAGTAAAAAAGCTAAAGTCGGGTGTCCCGACTTTGAAATACTCTGTACATATGTTTACAATAATTATAGAAAATAAAAAAATTAAGAAAATAAAAAAAAAAATTTGATCGATTTTACCTCTCTCGGTATTCGAACTCACGTAAAGGGTGTATAATTGCACATTTACATAGCAATTGCGTCTGTGTGAGTGTATGTATGCCTATGCGCATCAATTCGTGTCTGTGTAAGCATTTTCGCAGTCAACCAAACAGCAACATCAATAACAGCCGCGGGCAGCGCTTGAGCAGCGCTGCAGCAGCGCTGCATCAGCAAATATATTTATGGCTATAACTTCTTGTTAAATCGGTCTATCATAATGAAATTTGGCATACGGACACATAATAACCAACTGGGGGTATTTCCAAAATTTTAGTTCGAAATTCCAAGAATTACGGGAGTTACGATTTGCGGGGTAGAGGGGGGAGGGAGGGGAATTCCAAAATATACATTTTCTGCGTATTCACATAAGGCATCTGGGACTAAAATTTGGTGTTCCTAGGTCTTATAGTCTCCGAGATATAGGCGATTATACGAATGGAAAATCGGGAAAACCCCCATAGGGGGGAAGTGGGGGGGAAAATCAAAAAAATAAAACAAACTCGTATAGAATACACACATAACGCATCTTTGTGCAAAATTTGGTGTCTCTATCTCTTATAGTCTCTGAGATCCAGGTGTTCATACGGACGGACAGACGGACAGACGGACAGACGGACAGACGGACAGACGGACAGACAGACAGACAGGGCTAGATCGACTCGTCTCGTCATGCTGATCAAGAATATATATACTTTGTGGGGTCTGCCACGCCTCCTTCTGCCTGTTACATTTTTCAGCTCCCGCAAACCTAATATACTCTTGTACATTTCATGTACAGAGTATAAAAAGGTTTTTGAGTATGAAGATGCTGGCATTTTGCTGTCGGCATTACGAGTATTTGTTGTTATTGTGGGGATTAGCCGGAATCGGATAGCTATAAAAATCACCAGCACATTGAGGAGAAGCATCAGTTTCAATCAATCCGAAGCAAGCGAAGCATTATCAAATCATCAATATGCGTTTCTTTCTGGTGAGAATCAAAGGAGCAGCAGCTACTAACAAGGATTCTTTTAAAGCTGCATTCCTTTCTCTTCTTGTAGGCTCTTGTCTCTCTCGTTGTTTTGGCAGAGTGCAAGCCCCAGGGTTACAACTATGACAGCGGCGTCTCGGGCTCTTCGTCAGGTCTGAGCAGCATTGGCGCCGGATTTCTAGCCGCCCCCAGTAACGCTCAAAGTCTTGCCTCCTATGGTCCATTAGGAGCTCTACAAGGCGCCGGTGTCGGTTCATTTTTGGGCATCGGCAGCAGTTCCTCAGGCAGCAGTGGTGGTGGCTTCGGTGGTGGTTTTGGTGGTGGTTTCGGTGGTGGTAGTAGCAGCAGCTTAAACAACATTGGCTTTGGGGGTGTTGCCTCGTTCAATGGCGGTGCATCCAACTACCAAACGCAACAGCAGCAGCAAGAGCAACATGCGGGCTTTGAAGCACCTATTGTGCACAAGCAATTCATCACTATTTCCGCGCCCGAGGAGCACGAGAACTTGGAACGGTCCAAGCATCTGGTTATTGGTCGTCCGCAGAAAAACTACCGCGTGGTTTTCATTAAGGCACCATCCTCTAGTAACGCTAATGTCAAGTTGTCAGCTCAATATGCGCCACAGGAGGAGAAGACCGTTATCTATGTGCTAAGCAAGAAGGACTCGTCGCTGGAGGTCAACGACATTGCTACTCCCGCGCCAACGGTGCCCAGTAAGCCTGAGGTCTTCTTCATCAAATACAAAACTGAAGCCGAAGCTGCACATGCACAACGCCAGATTCAGGGTAAGACGACTAACATATCGATATAGGATAAAGAGTTAACCTCGTTTATACCATCCAGCTGAATACGACAAAATCGAGGGAACCTCTGAGCACACCGATGGCGGTGTGGCGCCTGCCCAGTCTGTTGTGGGCATTCTGGATGGTGGTGCAGCTGCTAATATTGGTGGAGCCGATGCAGCTACCTACCACGGCTCGTCCAGCACTATTAACAGCAGCACGAGCGGCTATTCAGGTGGCGCCAGCATCGGTGGTGCAACCAGCGGACACAAGGCGGCCCAAAGCGCCACCTATTTACCACCTGGCGGTCATTAAATGCCAAGATGGACCTACAATATTTCAAAAGATAATTTTTTTTTTTTTTTTTCGTAAAAGTCAAAAATGAAAGCCGACAAATATAAACATACATATATCCTTATAAAGATATGCATTTTCATTTCAAAATACCTATATGATCCAATTTTAGAAAGGATCTGCAAAAGTGCCGACTTACCAACAGATTGTATGGCTTTTTTGAGCAGCAAATCCGACTGACTCTTGTCCAGTACATCGATTTGACGACAAGAACGATATAGACTGCTTATCATAGACTCCACAGAGTAAGCGCCTCCCGCCTCGCTAGGAAGCATAGAGATGAAGCGATTCAGTTCATCCAGTTCTGCAAAAATGAAAATGGATTAGACTATCATCCCATTTAATATTTTCTCAATTACTGCTTACCCACCTTGATACTCATTGTAAGTCTTATAGTTCCACTCGCCTCGCTTGATCACAAAATATTCTCCGTTGGCATATTCGCGAGCAAAACTTCCACATGCCCATTCGTAGGTCTCATGGCAAGGACTGCGCGAGGTATTCGCCCACAAAAGCAGCTGGCGACTGCTCTCCACGCACTCCCGTTCCAAGCAGAGAGGCGCACGTAAGTAAAACGGCACCTCCGGCCAAAACGCAATCAACATGATAATAATGACGAAGAGAAGGGCGCACAGGCAAGCAGTCGTCACATACAGAATGCGCCGCTTTCTGGATAACCGCATTAGCGCATCGAAGGACAGGCGCCCTGGAAGCAGGAACGCTGTAGCCACATGGTCGTAGCAATGCATATGTGTACGAGTATACGAGTGTGCGTGTATGAATGTGTGTGTTTTAACGATGGACATGAAAGAGCACGATATAAAATAATCGTATTTTAAAGCACTAAACAATGAGTTTAACGAATTTTAAATAATGTACAAAACAATAGAAAAGCAAATTATTTTAAGTAAAGTCTAAATTGTCTTGCAACATAATCTCTGCCTGCCTTCACAAAAACCATTCAAAACCAGTGGAAGCTTAAGTCGGGTGCTCCGAGCTTGAAATACTCTGTACCTATGTGTAGAATAATTACATAAATTTAACTCACGTAACGGGTGTACGACTGCACATTTGCATCGGGATTGGGGCTATGTGTACATACATATGCGTGACTGTGTGTGAACATGTGTGCAGTACAGAGTTGGGCCAAAGCAGCAACAACAACAACAGCTACTACAGGAGCTTTGGCAGAGATTTCATTTATGGCTATAACTTCCTTTTAAATCGGCATATCATGATGAAACGGATACGTAAGCACTAACCAGAAGTTATAGCCAAATTTGATTTTTTTTAAACTCCAAGAACTTTGAAGTACCCTTGTACTGTGTCTCATATGCGGCATATGTGTACAAAATTTGGTGTCTCTAGCTCTTATAGTCTCTGAGATCTAGACAATCATACGGACGGCCACACAGACAAGACTAGATCGACTCATCTTGTCATGCTGATCAAGAATAAAACCAGAATTATGTGTTCTGTCTGTTACGTTTTTCCCCTCCCGCAAGCCTGTTGTTGTTACACCTGTTGGTGTTATACACCCTTTACGTGAGTTCATATACTAAACGTCGATCGAATATTGTCTTTTATAATTTTCTTAATTTTATAAAATTGTATAATTATTCTACACATATGTATGTACAGAGTATTTCAAAGTCGGGGCACCCCATTGGACCGATTGGCAAACCCAATTAGCGAAGTCCATCAAACTAAAACTTTCGACCGAGGCTCCCCATGTCTTCAAGCTTAGAACAAGTATAAGCTTTAAAGGAAACCCGCTAGTGTACTTCTAAGACAATGATAGGAGTATAAGACTTCGAACTAACAGCAGATAATAATTATTTATAATTGCATTTATGCATATCATTTATCAATATAAGACGAGTCGATATATAAGTATGTCAATTGAGATACACATAAAAACTATTAAGAACCCATGATCACCACTGTATTCTTGTTTTAATGTATGTTGTTTAATTATAATTACAAATATGCACGGATATGTAAGTGTAACACATCACATAAATATAAACCAGCAAATGCTCCATGTATGTATGTTTTCTGATTTCGGTCCACTTACCTCGGAGTCCATTAACCGAGGCATGAGCCGAGTTTGGGGTATCAGTGGCACTATTAGCGGCATTACTGAGTGCGTCTTTACGCGCTGCTTCCAAATCCTTCGTCGTCAGCGTTGCATCATCCATGTGCAACTTTTGCTGATTAGTAGTCAAGGGTGCTTTTTCGCTTCCCTCGATTTGTTGTTTTGTTGCGCCTCGATCATCATCTAAGACAGCGTTATTATGTTTGTAGCTCCGATCATCCACCTCATCAATGGCGCAAACGGTTGGCTTATATTTGCCCTGATTCAGGGCCATCCTGATGCCAGTCCTCCTCTCTGAGGACGTGATATTCGTAGACGATTCCTAGTCCAAGCTTACGATGGTGTCAGTCTTGGCGCATTTTCATCAAGCTGTAAAGGTAGCAGGAGTTACGTTTTAGTATTTATGGGGCAGATACAAAAACAATAACAAATCTCAGGCGATCAAGAAAAATGCAACGTCAGAGTCGATGTTGAATTATTCGTTTATCAGGCGGCAACTCAGAACATAGAGCTTGATTATCAAGAGATTACCTTGAGACCTGATATAATGGCACAAACACACACGTACACGCCCACTAGCACGCCGTTGCTCAATAAGAATATTTTCATATGTACAAACACACACACATACATACAAGCATACAATTTGTAGAGCATCGCAGATAAGTGAAAAATACGTTGAGATACGAGTAGCTTGCAACACTTCATATATACATATCTACATATGTACATAGACATACATATACATAGTATGTATGGTACATATGTGGTTCTTATGCACAACTATGCAAGATGTATATATTGCAAATACATATGCATAAATAAGCACAAACGAGTATAAGGCGTTCACTCTTGTCAGCGTCATGCAACATTTGACTTCTTTTCAATTTTAAATTGACAACAATTGGTGGCAATTTGCAAGGCAACCGAGTAGCCAGACGGACAAACAAACAACTGCCGGCCAATCTGCCTGTCCACCTCTTGTACACCTTCCCATCCAATAAGTGAACATTAATACCTCAGTAAGCTGGCTGCGTTAAATATTGCCCCTTTCCTTGCTGGCAGTTACAAGTATGCTCAAAATACGAGCAGATACATTTTAATTGGCAGAATTAAAGAAGACGTGCAAGTAATTAAAAATGCACAGTTCAGACTCACAAGGCCCATGCAATTGATGCAGACCACTGAAAAATTATGCCTGGAAACATTTTGCTTCGATTCAGTGATATCAATTTTCGTTTTGCATAATTTAAAAAAAATCAAATTTTTAATATACCTCTCATAAGTATGAAGCGAATATTGCTTATTTTTATCGGTCTATTAATATTTTTTAAAAGCGGCTTTTGTTCTGGAAATGTGAACCAAACATTTCTAACAATACAAATATGATACACAAAGGCATGCATATTTTTGGGACGACCCGGCCGCAATTTTACACCCATCACATATCAATATTAGCTTTTAAGGATTATGAAACTAGTTTTGTAATTCTTTAGCGGTTGCAAGGCAGTAAATGAAAACATCTAACTCTAAAAACATAGAACGTTACAGTCGAGCAAGCCCGACAGCCCCAAAACAATACTCCGTCACTGTGAGAGATGCGCGTAAAGCAAAAACAAGAATTGCTATTGTTTCGCAAATAGTTCTTCTAATAAATAACCGATTTGAATGAAGTTAACAAAAGTACGAAAATACGTATACAAAGTTTAGTTTTAGTTCAACGAGCTAGCAGGGGTCCCACGATGTCAGTTCGTTTCTTAAGTAAGCACTCGGTTTAATTCACACCGCAACCATCATGACAAAAGCATGATTAAAAATTTTGAATGTTGTCGAAAAATTCAATATTTGTCCAACATTGGACAGATCTTAAATAAAGATTAAAGATTTACAAAAACAAAAACTAAAGGCAGTACGAGTACAGGGTATACAAAAGCCGACTATGTTAAGCACTTCAAAAACTAAAACTAATGAAACCTTATCATTTTAATTAAAATTTTTACCATTTTTTTTATAGAGCATTTATCATGGTCACCGTAACCAAATTTATATGCTCATATAATTTATTTCATGAACTTAAAACACACATTTTGTAATAATCTCCATTGATAAGATAAAAACCGAGCACACAAAGTTTCGCTCTTAAACTATATTTTAAATTCAGCCTTTAAATACATAGATACGACCAAGGGAAATAACTAACTGACCAGAACTTATCGCATTGGACTTTACAGATTTGCAGGGCTTACCTGATTAAGGCTAGTTAAAACAAAACGAAAATAATGATAACACTCAATGACTCAATAGAGACGAAATATACATACATACATACATGCATATATACTTACTAGTATGTATGTACTACGAATATGCCCATACTATATACATATGTGGAGCTATAAATTACAACCATTTTTTATGTGCGCTCATAATTTAAAAGAGGGTGTGAAGTCTAATCCTCGAGATACTTATAAACGTATATATACATAGAGATGTTCGACGCACTCATTAGACAAATACGGGACTTAGCACTATGTAATAATAACTTTAAGATATATACGTATCTACCGCCACACACTACCGTTTTATGGCAATGGTTGCGTATTTATTATAAAGCATCTCTATGACCTACACACATACAAGTACGTATATACACTATATGTATGTAATCTGTTAATTGTTTCTGCTGTGTGGGTGTCTGTTACAGATGAACTCAGCCAATTTCTACATAATATAGGCATGTGCCCTACCACAAGCTGGCTTTTATGCACAGATTAAATGACAACACTAAAATCAGGAACCTTTTTTTGAGTGTGTTTGGTGCACAACATAACCAAAAGGGGGGCAATTAAGATTTTGATGGTGGCTTGGTGGCGATGGTGGCGACGAAGCTATTGGCCAACGAAGCATAACATTTGATCATACAGCACAGTGGTGCACTATCCATTATTAATCGCAAACATACAATACTGATTCCATTTCAAAGAGTGTACTTTACATTAAATGCAAAATCCAGCCTGGGCAGGACTACTTAATTTTCAAGAATTTCGTATTAAGGGCCTATTTTCTCTTCCTAATTCAATTTACCATCGCTTTACGACCACGGACATAGCTTATTAAGTAGTTAAGACCTAGAGGAGTAATTAGACACTCGTATTTTAAGGAAACAAATGCCTAGGAATCATTTGGTTGCAGAGCTTTACGCATGACAGTACATATAGTAGTACATATAGTATATGTTTTAAAACCGGTATACATATACTTTTTTACATCATTTTGTTAGACGGTGGTATGAATTTTGTTTGTAATGGATTTCATGTCTCGGAGAAGGTTGATATGTTATATACATATTGGATATATTTTTCCAAAATTGTAAAGAAATTGAACACTTTACTACAAGTCCACTTTTTTATAGCCTGTACCCAAAGGGTGAAAGGCTATACTTGTTTTGTGCGAATGTATGTAACACACAGAAGGAGGCGTGGCAGACCCCACAAAGTATATATATTATTGATCAGGATGACAACACAAGTCGATATAGCCATGCCCGTCTGTCCGTCCGTCTGTCTGTATGAGCGCAACGATCTCAGCAAGTACAATAGCTAGGATAGCCAAACTTGGCATTCAGGTTCCCCTAAGCCCTAGGCAGAACGAGCTTGTGTTTTTTTCTGGTAAAAATTTCTTTTTAAATTTTTCTTTTTTGTAGACTCTCCTACAACAACATCTACAACAAAAACTACCGTTTGGGTTATGAGAACATCATAAACTGCGAGCAAAAAATTAGTAAAAAAAAAAGTACACCGAAAAAAATTTTGATCACATTTATGAACTTCGCAGCTTCGCACACATAAGCGCTGGCAAAAAAATACCGCGTCTCAATCTCGGAAATATTAATTTCATTAGCCAATGTTCAGTTTTAAATCAAATATAAGTAAGATTATAAGTAAATAACTTGAGGAAAATCATAAAAGTTTTACTGAAACACTATAATTTATAATTTGTCAATACACTTTGAATGTCAGTGCATAAGTGACCGTCAGCGGGTATTGCAAATCGATCATCAGTACACACACTGTGTGTATTTTGTTATTGCATCGATCTACTTGTGCGTCTGGCTGGCGACAACACTGCGTGTATTTTGTTATTGTAAGTTTGCTCGAGATCGGCACTTTGCTTGTGCGTCTGGCTGTCGCCAGTTACCAAAACATAACGGAAAGAGCCCTGGGAGCCCAAAGAGACACTACGTGCCCACCGCTGTTGTAGAGAGTACAGGCTATTTTACTGTCGGGCTTGCTCGACTGTAGAGTTCTCTCTTGTTTTATTATTCCTTTTTACTCCGCTTGGGAGCTTAGGGCTTCTGACAAGTCCACTTAAAGGTTACTAATTTCTACCAATTGTATCCGTTAATTTTAATGAATCAGAGTTTAAACTTTAAAGTTCCCATCACATTACCGCAGCATCGGAATAGCACGGCTTTCCATACATAGCACTTATAGGTATTTGAGTATATGCCTATAATTTTTTTAAAGATTACCTAATAAGCATGTTTTTTAGTAGAATGCAAGTAAATATACTCGTAAACACGAATGAAAAGCAAGAGTGGAGCAGACCCAACTCTCACATACCCTGTACCCACGCCTAAAAAAGAAAATTCAAATATTTGTATACCCTGTACCCAAAGGGTACTCGACTCTAGCATTCCTTTTTTGAATTTTTACAATTTTCAGTATTTTTCTACATTGCTAATTTTTGACAAATTAATAATTATAAAAGTATTCCCCACATATGTACAAACTATTTCAAAGTCAGCTACTACTTATTTCTACTTATTTATTATTAGTTTACAATTTATATTCTTTATTCTATCTTTACTGAATTTTATCAAAGCTCTCCATTAGCTTTATAAATATGTTGTTATATAGAGCATTTTACCTCAGCAGTAGGCTCCAAAAACTGGAGCAGTTGTACCCTGTTCTTCTTTATTTTTTGGCTCTGCTTTTTTTTGCTTTTTTCGCTGACAAGTGAGAAGTCTTTAAGAATTGCATAAACAAAAGTTACGATGATTTGCAATGGGTAGCCATCGTCGTGCTTGTCGACTAAGGCGTACTTCAAAGCATTTGTGCTATGGCAGCATTTTCATAATCGATACAACTTTTAAAAATCAAACACACTCACGCGACACAGTGCGCAAAAATGTGATTAATTATAGCTTCGATTGTTTGCCACATCGGCCCCATTTGCAAATTGTGCATGATCCAAGTTCTTCACCCTCTTTGTTTATACTTTTCGGTGGATATGTGCGTGCCTAAACATGTGTAAGTGTAAGTTTGTTTGGGTACAGGGTATTCCTTTTTCGGACTGTAAAATTCTCG